CCTCTGCACAGTCCCTGTCACCCCCACTCAGGCTGCAGCCGCCTCCTTTATCTGAGCTTGCCAGCCTTTCCTCTGTCTCTCACTCTGCCATTAAGGTCTAGAGCAGCTTCCTGTCGTGTTTTCTGAGCCAATCCTAATTTCTGCCTCAAGTAATCTCAGCCTCTTGTGAGCATTTTCCATGTCATGTCTTTCTCCAAACTGTATCTTTCCTTGCTCCTGTCCCTCACACTTCCTCTGATTCTAGGGAATCTCTTCTTTACTAACCTGTGATTTTAGGGTTTCCTGTTCTCAGGAGCTGGGATCTACAGGCAATGAGATACAAACTGCCAAACCAAATTGCTTTCCACCTTCTGATTAAAGTATTTAAGCTAACTCTTGCTCTGTTTCATTTGAAGTGTACACTGCATGCATTGTTTTCTCCTGCTTTCTTTCTCCATCTGGGTTTTTGGACCAAAACCTGCTATTGATCATTGCTGCAGTTAAGACTTTTCACAAGGAATCAGCCACAGGCAATGCATTTATCAGCATGACTCTAACATAACAATGTGTATATAGGAGAGTCATAAAGGATTTGCAAATGTTCTGTATTATGTCTTGAAACTAGAAAGAATGAGTATCATATAAAAATGTGGATCTAAATTCAGAGCACTCCATGTATTTCCACTTGCATAGCAAAAATCAGGATATACTGTGAAGATTGAGCTTTAAATATGTGGACTATTGAAAAGTATGGTTTAGAAAACAGATAAATGGAAAAGGGGTGTGCAGGGGCATTTCCATGTTCTTTGCTCTTTTAACACCAAGCAGCATCAATATCAAAGTTACACAGTTTATTATTAAATTTGTCTCTTTTTCGTTTTAGGAGGGGATAAAAAAATGTAGTGAATGATTAGTTTTAATCTATTAAATCTGAGGTTAATGGGAGATTCTTTCAAAGGGTGAACACTGGCCAATATACATGTATACATTTTTGCTCATTTTTTTAACACACTGAAATGCAGAAAGGAACATTTTTTTTTCTACTGGTTTGTTAAAATCTCACTGTCAGTGGTCTTCTCCATGGAGAGAGCTGGATTTGGAGTTTTCCTCTATGTACATTTGCTGGATTCAGCCCCTGACCACAAGAATGTTATTTCTCTGTATTCAGTTGCAGCCAGAAAAAACTCAGGTGTGATGGTAGACTCTTAAAGGTTATTTCAGGATTGTACCTCTACTGAGAGACCAAACTTCAAACAAATGCAGCCTTTCATGTGCCTGTGGGATGGAGGTCACAAGAACAGACATGTGCACGTGTCCTTCCTTTGAATTCACCTGCTGAATTTGAACTATATCCGTGCAGTAGGACTACTTGTGTGCTGAATTGTGTGTAGAAACTTCTACAGCTTTGGGAACTCAATGGAAAAACAAACTATGAAAAAATCAGGCAGTCCCATGCTTCACCTTCTGCTGCTCCACCCCCTTCAGTCACCTGCAACAGGGCTCTGAGCTGGTTCTGGCTTCCACTTAGGCAATACTTGTAGCAGCTCTTCTGGACCAAGGAGGTGACTACAGAAAATGTATCCAGGGTAAGTGCATGCGGGAAGAGAAAAACTTTCTGCTTCTGTAAATCTCAGTACCCAAACAGCGCATTTTAAATCCACTGCATTTCTGCATCCAGAAAATCAGTAAAATCAATCTCAGTAATGCTGGTGCTGCTCAGGAGCGTGTATTTGCTTACCTGGTGAGAAAATATGACATCAGGGGATGGGAGAAATAAATGCCTACTAAATCATGTAAAGTCATCTCTGCTCAGGAGTTTGGGGTTTGCACTGGCTGTTGAGTTTTTCAGAGGGAGGAGACAGAGGCAATTAGGAGGTGTCAGCCTCGATTTTGCTGTACCAACTCCTGTTGTGTGGCTGCAGTCAGGGTGAGCAGCTGTCGAATGAGGAGTGTGGAGCAGCAGGCTGCTCATGAGCTGGGCTCCAGGCTGGCACTTGCAGAGCTTAGGTCTCATGGCATCCTGGATGTGCTGAGGAGGACATTGCTCAAAAATATCTGGGAAAGGTTGCAGCCTACACATTCTGTCCAGAAAAATACAGACAGGAGTGTGTGTATGTACCTGGCTGGGTAAGTGCCCAACAAATTATTTTGTTTCTGCTGGGATTGTGGCATTTAAAGGTATTTTAGGCCATGCTGGACTCTCTGGTTACTTAAAGCTATGCCAACCCAAACAAACTCAGTTTCCAGTTTGCAGATAGCTGTCTCCAAACTGGTCACCACTGTGGTGTCTGTGGGGGGAGATAAGCAATTCCACAGCACAGTTAATCTCTTCTGAGGCAATTTTCTTGATCTGATCAGAAAAGCATCACTCTGAGCACCAAGTCCTGTGCTCCGACATCAGTGTGAGTCCTCAACAAGAGGTGTCTTTTGGCCTCAAGCACCTTTTGGACTCCAAGTAAAGTACATGTTCACATTCCCATTATGTCACTTGGTCTTAATCATATGCTGAAGAGTTTTGCAGAGTTGAGCCAAAGTTTGGATGTTTGGTGGTAACTGTAAAGACTTACAACAGCAAGTTAGAAAAAAAAAATCAACTGCTCTTCACATAACATTAACCCCCTAATTAATTCACAAATCTACCTGACAGATGAAATTTTTATTTTCAGCTGTTTTACTTGGGATCTCTTTAGCTGTTTTGTTTCCTGTAGCCTGAGTAAATATTTGACTTTGTCCTCTAAGTCACTGCATACCATTGTATAACCTAATAAAACCTTTTATTTCATTAGCACCAGTTTATCTAATGTTCCAGACTAATTGAGAGTGGATTTCCAAGAAGAAAAAGGAAGAACATGTTCACAACCACAGACACCTCCTCACCTGTTTATGAAAGAAAACACAGGCTCTGCAGGGCAGAAAAAATACTGGTAAAAAATACCACATCTCACCTTTCTGCAATTTTCTCAGTCCATATCAATTCCCCGAAGTAGAAGCCAGGTCATTCATTCAGTGTTTACATAAAAATGTGAGCTTGAAAGGAAGGTCACTATTTTCCTCTGCCCAGTGGGGATTACTGGAACAGACTCTGCACTTCCCTGTGTGGAAATCACCTCTCTTCCCGAGCTCTGCCTTAGCCATCAGAGGGGGGGAGGTGCTGCTTCCAAAAGTCCATGTTGTTCTCATGCTGGGGGCCCCAGAGCTGGACACGGCACTCCGGGTGGGATTTCACAAGAGCAGATTAGAGGGGACAATCAACTCCCTCACCCTCCTGGCCAGGATGCTTTCGATGCAGCACTGGGTATGCTGGCAGTTTTCAGTCCTTTTACCATTCTGGATATAGAAACATAAAACTCAAAGGACTTTCTAAACTGATCCTGTTTAATTAGAGATCTGACACATCGTTATCACTACTGTGATATTCCTGACCGCTGCCAAGAAGGCCTGGGGAAGAGGGTCAAAAGAAATTCGTGTATTGTATAAAATAACCAAATGTTGCATGAGTGTGTTCAAGTAGAAAATATTACTGCTGTGAGAAGACATCCAGTCTGTTCTGCAGGGGTAGACTGGAGCACCAGACCTGAGGCACAGGTTTCTCTCAGAGCCAAAGCTGGGGATGGATCTTCACAGGGATAAAGTTTTGTTGTTTCTACAGCATTTAGGTGTGAGGCAGCAGGGCCACCAGATCCAAAGGCAGAAGGGTTGAAGTGTCAATCTGGGTTGACAGATTTCTGACTGAACGTGAAGGTTTTATTTCACCTACACAAATCAAATAGCTTATCTGGTAATTTTCCTGTTCTTTTCAGCTGAGAAGGAGATGGACAGCCCTATCCCAAGCTGTGAATTGCACTCAGGACAGAGGTAATGGAGGCTGCAGAGAACTTGTCCTTTGTGCGCAGGGGCAAGTCTCTCCTGCTGAACTAGGCAGGTGTGCTCAGAGAACAGCTTGCTCTGAGGACACCTGGGAAGGGCTGGAGAGGGCAGATGCGCTCTACAGTCTCTCCAGTGGGGCCCTGGGAGCTGGATGGGTGACCAAGGCTTCTCACCTGTGTCCAGATTTTGAAACCACTGGATGCAGTAATTCATGATTAGAAATGTTGCACTTGGACAGTTTCTACAACAGAGGGTACAAGGAGAATCAAGAAACTGGGATGGCCATGCAAAACTGCTACAGACAGCCAGGAAAAGACCATTAAGGATTTCCCCGTAACTTGGTCCTTCTGAGGAGCATTTTTTGAGACATTTCTAAGGGAGACCTTTAAGAGCTTAGCCAGCCTTTTAAGAGTCATTCTCTGAAAATCATTCATAAATTCCTATTAAAAGTTCATGAAGCTGCCAGGCTACAAACAAGGATACCAAAACACTAAGGAAAAAAGGAAAAATTATTAGAATAAAATATATGCCCTCTTCTGACTTTCTGATCTTTCAAGGTCAACTGCAGATCCAAAGAATGATCTCATGTCCTGGCACTGCTGCCAGGACCCCTCTGAGAGCCAAGACTCAACAGAGTTTCAGCCCCATGCTTTGCCCCTGCAAAACTTGCCCTCACCCAGCAAATGTTTCATGGCTGGCCAGGGACCGGCACAGGATGCGCCCAGACAGATCAATTTTCTTCCCTTTTCACTTTCTCTGTGACTCCTGGAATGTGTTTGCACATGGTGGAAAAAATGCAGAGAGGAGGGAGAAGCAGCCAGGAACATCACCCTCCCTGCTGGCGCTCAGCTCTGGGGTTGGTGGCTTGTGCCAGCATTGGTAGCCAAAAAAGTTGGAGGAGACCCTGATGCCTGGAGCACAGATTAGATTAATTTTTGCAGGTAATCCTTTATTTTTAAATTAAAAAGAAAAATCTATAATCTGCACAAACTCAGTTAACACAGGCTTGCAGTGAGAGGCGAAATCTGTTTTGATCAGAAAACTGGCTTGTAATGAGTACAAAATTTTTCACAAAGTTTCAAACCCATCTTTTCCTCCCCTTTTTCATTAATGGGCATCTTTTATCCTGTCCTAAGCAACAGCAACCAGACTAATTAGTTTAACGAGTACAACAAATGGTTTTATTGACAAAAAAGGACCCTTTGAAATATACATTACATTCACAGAGGATTAAATTACACCCTATTATCCATTTTACATAAAATAAAGATTACTTTGATAAATCACAACTAATGTTATCTTTGGCTGATAAGAACTCAGTACTTATTTGTGTGGCTTCTATAAATAGTGTGTTCTGATTATTTTTCCTCCCTAAAATAGTCAATGATACAGTCTGCCAGGCATTTTCCTGCAATTTGACAATACCACATCTGTGAATGAAACAGCAAGTGAAAGCTTCATTTTCTGAATATGAAACATGCAACAGTCTCTTTCTTTTTTGCCAGCTCCTCTGCAGTAATCTATCAAACACCTTTCAGCCATATCTTGCTCCATCAGGGTTTTCTTATTACTAAAGCAAGGAAGTCAAAACAAACTCCTTTTGTTAAGAGCAAAGCCTTTGTGGTTCATCTTTCCATTGTATGCAAAGTCAGCGTGACAACTGTAGCATAAGGGGGTTGTGCCCTCATTTAGGCCTTAATGCACACAGGATATGCACAGTAATGTACAAAAGTGTGCATTTTCAGGTGTAAAGGGCTCCTTTGGGCTTTGCCTTTCCTTAGCTTTGCACCAGAGGATTCTGCAGATTGCTGGAAATCTACTGGCACCATCTCCAGGCGGATAAACAGTTGGTGGAGGACCAAGCCAGGAGCAATGTCCTGTGTTTATTCAGACCTGCATTAGCACTGCACAAAGTGGTTCTTTACTGAAGGATGGAGATAGTTAGGATATTGGAAAAGGATCTTTGTGTGCCAAGAATTTTACCCATCTTTTGAGCATTTGGTAACAATGCGCGCCAGGAAGGGACATCCCCACTGGATCACAGCTCAGCCACCTCGCTGGGCAACCAACAGCTTAGCACAGCACAGCAGCACAGCAGCACCTTCAAAAACTTCCGAGGAGTTTGATTATGAAAAGCTGAAGCCCATTTCCTACTGTGTAGTGGACCACCAGAGAGATCTGCCCTGCCACATGAATGGCATTGCCTGTCCTACTCCTCAGGACAAATATCCAAGTTCAAATTATATTAATTTCCCATTTTTTGAAATTCTTTCAAGAAACACATTTATTCTGAGTTCAACTACTGCTTTGTATGCACTGGCTGACTCAAAGCATCTCATTTTACTGTAAATATTCAAGGGTTAGAACTTGTGTAGCAGTTGTTGGATCAGCTTGAAATAAAGTTTGTAACGTTCTTAAGACTGGTGGGGAAAAGATGTAGCAGTTCTGGAAATCTTTAACAAGTAAATCCAATATATGAGTTGAATATACAATTTTTGAAAATCCTCTGAACTTCTCAAATATAACATCAATTTAACATCCATTTGCAGCAATTAACCCTAGCTGGGCCATTTTGGATGGGTGTTCTCATAAGCAAATGTCTCTTTTCCCACATTCTCCCTCAGAAGCAGGTGGCAGTAAATTTCAAATAAACCCACACCCATGTCTGTGTTCCTTTCTGGAGGGTGTGTTTTGTTCATGAAAATATGTCTGGCCTCTCTGTTTAATTTTCAAAATTTTAGAAGTGTCCCACCTCCTGGGTTGCCCACAAAGTGATTCAGCAAGCCAAGCAAAGGGATCAAAGAACGGTTACATTTTTTTTTAAGCGAATGGAAAAGTTTAGCCATTCTGAAAGTATTTTCCCTCAACACATATTTCAAAACATTAATAAAAATAATTACAGCTGAGTCTAACAGACAAAATGCAGGGCTAGAGTAATAAATTTTAGAGAACAGGGAGGAGCACTCTGAAGTGCCGCAAAACAAATAGATTATTGCCTTTCCAAACCCCTGCAAACTTCTCTTTTCCTGTAATAGAAAATAAAAAATCACCATGGCTGGGCTGCTGCTTGCTTGCCGTAAGTAAAACAACTTTAATATTGTATTTCCTCAGCGGTGTGCAATTTTATAAAGCAGGAAGGAGGAATTTGTACACATAGGAGTGAACGCGCATAGGAATTGCCACCAGCACCGACCAATCACCTTGGGTCCAACCCAAGCCCGACTCTTTACCTTGATGCTCACTGGATACTCTGTGGGTGATAAAGTCCTGGGAACCTGATTCTGTTTCACGGGCTCATATATTGGAATCAAAGATAAGGTCCTGATGTAACAAATGGAGGAAGATCCAAACCTTGGAGGTCTCAGAGACCCCTTTATGTATGTGCCACAGGGCATACTCCTCCTTGCTTATTCCATCTCCTGCCTCCCATATTTTGCGCTGATTTATGCACAGCTGCTGAACTCAGAAGAAGCAGACCTGCCCCATCTCATACTACACAACAGTCAGAGGGCTGGGTGCTCGCCAGGAAGATGGGATATGTTGATTCCAAACTCCTTTGGCCCAGAACCCAGCTCTCCCACTTCCCAGGAAAGAGCTCTTTGTACCAGACAACACATCTGTTCTCAGAACGGCGCTGTCAGGGTGTCACAGGCAGGGAGTGCTGCCTGCTGTGGGCAGTGTGCAAACCCCTCTCTTTTCCCACCTTCCCCCATCACTGCCCAGCACAAAGTGGGGAGTTGCTCTCTCCAGGAAAAGCCACGTCCCTCCAGGAAAAGTGACAAGGACCAACAGCAGAAGGGCTGACTGACTCAGCCCAGCACGGGAGCATCTCTTCTGGCATGGGATGCTCAAGTCAGAGCTGCAGCAACTGGTCTGAAAACAGGCCAGGTACCAACACCCAGAGAGATTTCATTTACTGCAGTGGATCCTCTAGCTGATCAGGGGACTGCAGCTTCAAGGTTCCTAGTGTGGAAATCCTGGGAATTTGTAAAAAAAAAATAAAAGGGTCAGAAATGCCAAGATGGAAAGGCAGATCAAAATCTAATCACATTTTCCTTCCTACTCATAGGAAGGGAAGCAAGAGAAAGTAAAAACATGGAAGACAGAGTCAGTAAGTCAAATATTTTTATTTATGCCCTTTCTTATTTCTGACCATTGGTCATTAACATTAATTGCACAGACCAAAATTAGCAATTGACTTTAATTTTCCTAAACTACAACTTTTATAGCTTTTGCATTTTTACCAAGAGAAGACAAAATAATGAGTAAGTCTCTACATAGAACCAAAGATAGGAAGCAACTTGTTACCAATCCTCATGCAGGCTACTGATTATTGGAGGCTGAGGTCGAGCGTTATTTCAGGAGAAAATTCACTCTTATGAGTATGCTCTCAAGCTAATCTATAGTCCTTTCACAACCGATGTAATTTTCATATATTAGATAACAATTACAGGCATATTAAGCAATATTAACATTATTAAACAATAGTGAACAGCCACCTGAAGGTATAATATGGCAATGCAAAACCTCAGTAATATAAAGAGACTTACCTGGTAATTTTCCATTAGAGCTTTTCTAAGCTTCTGGAATTTTTTGTCTTACAGGTCTAGAGATTTTAAACAGAATAAATCTAACATTCATATTTACAGAAAGATTTATACCTGGCCCAAGAACTCCAGGGACACTTACACTTTCTATACCAACAAATTACTCCCATTTGGAAAAGGAGCTATTGCTTTATTGTGGCATTACCACAGAAGCTGCTTTCTGAGGGCACTGAATGCATTTTGTGCAATGAGTCTTCCAAAAGGCTAAAATGTATTGCTGCTGCTCTTTATGTCTTGCTCTTTTGCAAGCATACACCAAGCTGCAGACTTGGCTGCCACTAAGTATGTATTTTATATGTGGACTATTACTACTAATAAAAGTAAAATAAGTTATTCAATATGAATGACTGCTCCTCTCCCTCTTGATGTACATAAAAGAAGCCACATATAATGTGAGACTAAACTCAGGCAACTGTAATAACTCTGTGGCACTCCTACAGTAACAAAGAGAAGAAAAAGCAAAATGCTTCCAACAAAACAGTTTGCTTAAATTATCCTTTAAATGAAACAAAAAACCTAGTCACAAATCCATTTTACTAACTTTTTGTTTCCTGAAGGTTTCTCTTTTAACAATAAAAAATAAAAAGTAACTATGTTTAAGGAATTGGCACATAATTATCACAAGACCCAAAGGAGAACAAATATCCTACTTCTTTCCTCTTTTCCTGGAAGCAGAAGTCCCTGAAATCATAACTCTGTAATATCAGAGCTTCTACACAGGCAAGCTTCAGCTTGCACCAAAGCAGGAAGGAAATGAAAGCTTCACTTACGGCTTTCTATGCATCAGACTGGGACTTCTACACTCCTCAGCTCTCCTACAAAATCTCAAGTCATGAAAACCATGAAAATCTCTTGGTGGATTATGAACTGAGTAAATACTTGTACTAGAGCAGATGGATTTTTTCCGTATATAAAAACAAACAAAACAAAAATCATGTACACGTGAGGGAGGAATGGCCATACTGCTGTACAAACCACTTTCCTAACCTACATTGTTACTGGTCCCAGCTTTAGGAGATCAGCATGCTTCAGCTGATACAAGGATTCTTACTGAAAACAACTGCACTAAACCAAAACCCTTCCAGTAAAACAGAATTATAAAAATAATTTAAAGCAATAACTTCCAGTTTATATACAAGCGTGTAGTTCAAACATTTCTTTTCCTGACAGAAAACACCAGATAATATATTGCAAAAACACCACACAAATTTTGCCTCAAAGATTTTATCAACAGGATTTGCAAAAGAGCATCAAGTACTCTGAAATGATTTATGAGCTGCAAAGTGATGCATGAGTCATTCAAAGTGTATCAGTTGTATTAAATTTCAGTTATCGGTCTTTACTGATGGCAGGCTGAGAAAAAGTGAGAGAACAGACAATAGAGCAAATAAAAATATTTGTGAGGTCATAACAGACACTGGTTAAATCTGTAGTTGAAAGGTTTATGTACAGCAAGGAAAAAAGCTTTTCTCCTTTTTCAAAGAGATTGCACATTGTCAAGGTCCACTTCCATCAGAGAAATACATTAAAATAATTTTCAATCTATATTCTATTTTCTGGCCTATTGAAAGTATTCAAAGACACAGGAAAGACTAGACTTCTGCAAAGCAGATTAAAGAAAACTGCATTCCTACATATTTTAACTATACAGTTACACATCCAAATTCAAAGCAGAAAAATAATTCAATGCAAATACTCAAGAAATACAGAATTATGGATTCTGATTAATCTGGGGGACGCAAGACTATGAAAGGAGTGCCTGAACTTGATGAGGAGATCTGTGTAGGATGGTCTCTGGATCCTTGTATTCATTTGAAGGATCCATCACAGCTGCATATAACTCACTGTAAGCCCTGCAGACGAGTTCTGTTGACTGTTTTATTATCTGCTCTCTAAAAACCAAAACAAAATAACATAATTTGCAACTTGTAGGGAATATAACTGTAGTACAAATAAGGAATTAAAGATATACATTAAAAATTACATTAAAAATAAGCATTAAAAATTTAAAAAAAGAGGGCTCTTTCTCTCATTGTATCATACACAGATAAACTCACATCTATGACCTGATAACCAAGACAGGAATTTCTTTATTTCTACAGTCAAGCAAAAGCTAATAGAAGGATTTAATTTGCAAACACCCGTTTCCCACCTGCACTCACCTGTATCCTTTAAAAGACTGATAAACTTAGTGATCTATCTTCTACCTCCAGTGGCTTCTCACTATGTTTGTAAATACACACTTCTTTTTCATCTACTAGCAAATATATTCTATTTGCTTTATCTTGACAGCAAGATTCCATTATGATTCCATAATCAGACAAAAACTAGTGATAGTGTTCAGAGATTTAAAACACAACCTTTTACCAACAATGCTATGAAGTCTGTGTCCTATTATTTTCTCTTGAGATAAACGAATAAGAACACAGAGACTGAATGCTAAATTTAACTGCAAAGTTTAATATTTTTTAAAGACAACCTAATAATTTTATTTTACATTGCCCATTGAATCAGTTTACTTTAATCATTATGGTGATGGTGCTTACAGTAGCATATGAATTTTTATCTATTAGGAACAGCAGCTGCAACTATTTTAGAGTCAAACCCATGCAACGGGAACTCCAGCAGAAGCTGAAGAAACCAAGGTAACCACAGTTCCAGCCCTGCTGTAATATGCAGCAGAGAAACAAAGACAACAAAACTGCATCCACTAAAATCATGGCTCAATTCACAGACTGTTGGGAATAGACAAGTTAAAGAAATTTCAAAGATCAAGCACAAAAATCTTAGTCTTTACAGGAAACATTAAGGAACAGAAGCTATGAGAAAGCAGATTAGAAGATCAAACCTGCATTTTATTCTGACACACAGTATCCAGTTTTTTTACATACAGCCTCAACTGCCAGTACTACTAGGTCATTAGAATACCTGAAAAATAGACTGTCCTTATAATAACAAATTCAAACCCACTATTATAAGGGAAACATATTCAGGGTGTTCAGGTAAGACAACTATCTCTGACCTCAGCTTGGGATCACTAAGGTACTGTAACATGAAAATCTTTTATGAAAGCATTGCACACTGAATTTGTGCAGAACTAATGCACCAAATGAAAAAATAAAAAAGTTTGTTAAAATATTCAGAGAACAGAACAGAATCACATGTGTTGTTCAATCAAATAATGTCAGTGTCATTAATCAGTACATTAGGATTTCAGTTGCCATAACAACGTGATACATTTATTACTAACACAAATGGCAGCACTTGCTAAAAATAGTAATTCCAGCATTCAGTTTCTGTGATCCAACACGAATGAAAAGATCTTTTCAAGACCAACAACCATATGAATACATAGCTTAAGGCTTTTTAAATGAGTGAAGGAATTTGAAAGACAAGAGCATGCAACGGTAATGTTGGAAGGAATGTTCTTCACAGTTGCAAAGCTTAAATGACATTGCCCACGAGTATATTATACAATGGTCCCTCATCAAAGCATGTGGTCTGATTCTGAGTACCAAAGCCCTCATAGGTTACAGATCTCCATTATCTGATTTCAGAAAAATGTCTTCAAAATTGAAAATTTCAACTACTATAGAGAGGAATTAAAATTATAGACCTGGTTAAATGTTTTGCTTGAATTTTGAGAAAATTTAGAATTTTCAAGGCTTACTTACTATCAAAAATATTGACTATCAACACTGATTCTACAAGCACCTCTGGAAATGGGTATTTAAATTTCAGAAGGATTGCTTATGTTTTAAGCTAGTTGTTTGAAGGCTAATGGGCTAACTGATTTGTTTTCATTCTGAGCAGAACTTGACCTACAGCACTGATCATAGCAGGTTAATAAACGTCCACATGTTAGCTGAGTTGAAGCAGCTGTAGCAATCACCCTCACAAAAGGCTTCCCTCTTACCTCTCAACTGTCCCCTGCTGCAAGATGATATGAATTCAGCTTAACATGTGCTGAGAGGCTTAAAAAGCTTATCAATGGGATAGGCTAAGAGTGCCTACATAACTACTTTATCTTGGTTCCTCTGACAGAAGGATTGATTAAGTTCAGGTAATTTCACTGTGCCAGAGTCATTATGGTAGCATAGAGTCTACCTCTTAAAATTGCCTCTGTGTTAGCAATGAAAAGCTGAGGCCTTCAAAATACATTTACTCTCATTACAATTTTTAAATAGACCTACATTTAAGAAAATATATCAAGAGCTAAAATACAGGTTTAATGCCCTGACACTGAGAAGCAGAAATTGTGATGTTTCAATGACATACTGGTCAAGCTACTCTGTTTGATGTGTACAGAGAGTAGAGCTCTCCCACAACAGGGTCAGCTCTGCAGCTGAGCTGTGGGAATGGTAAATCTGGCAGAGACACTCAATGCCAGCTGAAAACCACCAGCATTCCCTGTGGCCTGCCATTGCTCCACCTGTATGGCGTGGCACTGGAAGTCTTTGGATGAAGAGAACCTGAGCAATGCAGCACGACAACCTGGCAGCTGGACTAGTTGATCACTGTAGGTCACTCCAAACAAACCATTCTATTCAATTCCCAACAATAATTATTTTTCCCTTGACACATCACTTTTTAGTTGCAAGCTGCTGTAATACAACCCCAGTGAGGACAAGCATTAATAATGAAACTCCAAATACTGTTGCATTATGTAAAATGTGATGTACTTGTCTCAGTTTCTGGTATATTTGGATACCTGCATTCTTCACAAAGTGTGAAAAATAATGTCAAGGAAAGTTTTTGATCAGTGCAACATATAATTCTCTGAGTTTAAGTACCACAAAAAGTCTTCATGTGGTTCACATTTAATTGGAAAGAAATTCATGGCACTTTCCCTAGCCTTAGGGTTCAGTTATAGTCAAAAAACAAAGTAAGAGATAAATAATAAAGTTCTTACTTCCATACTTCAAAGAAGAAATCTCTAAAAAAATACATTAGGTGAAAAGTAAAATAATCTCAGCAAAATATTCAATGAGACAGAATGCCAATATTCTACAGCAGAAGACAACAAAGGTGAAAACTCTAGAACTGACAAAGCAGTGGGATAAAAGAAAACTTGGAGAATTATATATTTCACCTGTCTTTGGAAAGCTTACAAAATAGTTCTAAAGCAATTTACAACTAAGTTGACAAAAAACTGCTGACACAGCAGAGTGTGTTCAAAATGTAATTCATCTTGATGGTGTCTCTTAAATCAAAGGTAACTACTTCAGAAAGTTACAGAATTAGATACTCTTCACTGCCTGTTCAAAAAGAGGAGAGTCAGAACACAAATGAATTGTGACCTGAAGGACAATGCAAATAGTATCACCACTGATAACTTGAATTCTCATCATGATTCACTAAAACCTAATCAAATTCATCTTTGTGATTGCGATCATTATTCAGACGTAACAGAAATTCAGAGGCAAGGTACTTACTTCACAGTGGCACTCAGAAGGAAATTCAGCTGGGACATTAAGAGACTATCTGGAGCAGACAGATAGCGATCAAATTGAGCCTGCGAGAGGAGAATATGGGATCAACATTGCTATGGGATCAACACCTTGCTATTACACAAAAATAGGTAAAAACCACAATTTCTGAAAACATCACTGATTACACTAAAAGACATAACTTAATTGTCCAAAACAAATTACTGACTTCAGTACTTCTGCCACCAAAATTTTGTTTCTGACTCAGAGGCATATGAGTGGAGGACAAATAATGAGAATCCAGCTTCTATAATTATCCATCTAAGCTTCCTATGCATGTGGTGCAGGTACTTATACATCACTGAAGATCACACCAAGTCTATGCGATGCAGAGGGAATACAAGACAGCTTCAGAGCTATCTTCTATCTATTCTGTCCAAATTAGACATGTTGCTTGATTCTTTTTGCATGTTTCTTTTTACTTTTTGGCAGGGAGTCGCTGCTTATGCTTGGAAAAATAAAAAGCAAATCCTTCACTTCAGGCTTCTTGAACTGCTTCTAAGCCTACTTCTCTTTCTCACAGAATATAGTGATAAGAAGAGCAGTGCTTTGATTCTAAGAAAAAAACATTACTCCCATCTTCAACAGTCAATTAGAAAAATTGTGGCTGCCCCATTCCTGGCAGTGTTCATGGCCAGGCTGGATGGGATTTTGAGCAACCTGGTCCAGTGGAAAATACTCCTGGCCCATGGCAGGAATGCTGGAAGAAGATGGTCTTTAAGGTCTGTTCCTAACCAAACCATTCTGTGACTGTGTGGTCAAATGGGTGACTACTGAGAAGATGAAACCTTCTTCTCACAGGTGAAACTACAAGGAATACTGAACACATAATACACTAAGAAGCATTTAAATTAGATAGTGAGAGAAAAAACTCTTATCAGAAATGTCATCAAATATTGAACAGATTAACCAAAAAACCTGTATAAAATCCTTGGAATTACTCACTAAGACAAGGCCCTAAGTAAGCTTATCTAGTGATGGCAACCTTCCTGTTCATTCATTCACTGAATGAATGAAGCTGGTAAATCCTAAAATCCCCATCAATCCGTCATTCAAAACACAGACAAAAATGAGTAATGAAGTCACAATTCTTACAAAATATTTTTTTGGGGTTTTCTGTCCTTGTTTGGAAAGCAAGGGAGCTTTTCCTGAGAGGGGTGTGAACTTAACAAGCACCCCATTTGCAAGCACGCAGGAGCAACTTAGAAGGCTGGAACCTGGAAAACTTTCAAGCATAAATGGGAGACAGTGAATCTGCCTGCAAGTACTCCCCCCTGGTTTAAATTCTGAGAAGCCAATAGATTTGGCTGATAGATGGGATTTATGCAGGTTTGATTTCAGCATACTTGGTTCCATTCTGGTTAAAGTGTGTTCACAGAAGATGATGTTAAGTAATGAAAAAAATAAACAGCTGGATTCTTGTCTTAACTATTCAAGGGAAATTATTATGTACTACTACAGATAATAGTGCTACTTATGTATAATTTAAAGAGAAGGTCCCCAGGCTGCAGCCTTTAAATTTGTTGTTAGTCTACAAGACCGTGATAAATAGAAGATATTTTAAATGCAAAATTCCTAAGTTTTAATAAGAATGCATGCTGATATGAGTAAACCATTGAGTGCTCTGTGCCAGAGCACTGTTCATCCAATCAGCTTGGGAATTACTGGTTTAAATCCTGAACAGAAAAAAATGGGTTACACTATCATAACTGGGATGCATTCAACATACAAGTTTTTTAAAAAATCTTTTAAACTCTCTTTTGTTTCCATGGGTGTGTACATACACTGCTGTATGAACAGGTCTTTACTGTTAAACTTTTTGAATAAAGCTAAATTTGGCTAAGGAGGAAGAGTGAGACATTATACATTATTGCCTACTAAACTGTGGTATTGCTATCTCTATGCAAAACAGCCTTCACACACTCTAAGAAAAAGTATCAGCTGATAATTTGCTTTAAAATATATTGTAGCTTTCAACTTAAAAAACCCGTAACTGTGACATATACCCAGAATCTAACTTCTGAGTAAAGCTGAACTATTTGCATAAAATCAAAGCCTTAGGACTAAGATTATAAATGATAGCAGAACCTATATTTCAAAGCACAGAGGCAAAAAAAGAAACTTTGGTGATTAAAACTAATTAGAGCTAAGTATTTGCTTTTAGCAATTTAAGATGACTCATGGGACAGCATTCTTCTAAGTAAAGATCTGCTTCTCAAGGCTTAGAAAAAAATATTCTACTACTACCTCTTCAGAAATAATTTATGTATTTATTATTTCAAGTGGTCAAATTACTACAAATGAAGAAAGTATTCCCAGACATGCAATCCATCTATTCCTAAAGACTAGGACTGATTAGATGAATATCTTCTACTACAGATGAATATCTTCTAATCACATAATTAACAGTATTCTTTACCATGTCACAGCTATCACCACCATAATATAAAAGTTATAAACGCTTACCATTGCAACCTTCAGGGACACGGAATCCATACTTGACAAATTTGAAAGAGGACCCTAAGAATCCATAAGCAAACAAGGGGATAAAAAAAGGTCATACTAGAATATAGAAAAAGATAAATAATAAAGTCTAGAATCGATTCAGTAGTTAATTTTTATTTGGTCCTGCTAACAGGATCTTAATGTTTGGAAACTATCACAATTTCTGTACTGAAATGCTGTTAACAGCTCATTTGTATTCTACCATTCCCTTAAATTAAAAGATGAGAATATGGAATTCTCAACATGTCCTTTCAAAACCTCTTCTTCCTTCTTCACCATTAAATAATGCCAAAAATAGCCTTCCACAAGGTCTAGAATTAAAACTGAACTGCAAACTGGCTATATCCCCTTGAAAATCTGGACTTAAGAGACAACAACCTTGCTCTATCTATCTGTTCTTGGACCATGAAGAATTCAGACCTGCTTCCCAGTAAACCTTCTGTGCTGGTATGGCAGTACAATGCACAAATGCTCCTAACCCCCCTAGGAAATTCTGCAACATCACCACCTCTGCAGCCAGGCAGCTGTACAGAGAGAGAAATGAAGATTGCTACATCCCATTAACAACCTGCTCTAGTCAACTTGAAATTGGTTTTAAAACAGGAGCTAGGCTTGTGAATAGAAAACCAAGTTGAGTTATTAATCAGATTATTTACACATTTATTTATTCATCTTTATACATAAAAATCTGTTAAGGCACTTTATGCAAAATTATTAGCTGAAGAAACAACATAAAGCTTTCCAACAGAGTTCTGCTTTCTCCAGAAAACACTATTTTTTAAAATCTACAAAAGATCACAAAAGGACATAAGCACAGCTGAAGGGAAGAAGGGCTGTATTAACACCTACCACACTGCAACTGTGCTTCACAAGAAAGGGAGAGCGTGAGCTCTGAATTCCAGTTTTCAGCTCCTCTAAGAAATCTCAAGTTTTCACTTTGAGAATCTCACTGTCTTGGTACTAGAATAGCTACAGCAACAAATAAGGGCGAAAGAAGAAACTATTTCAAACTACTACTAAACTCATCTGCCAGTTTTCCACAGAAGAAAAAAAGCAGCAATTACCAAATGCATGCAGCTATCTATGGACTCCATGCATGGAAGCAATGAAGAAGCTGAATGCTGCTTACACACACAGCAAGTCTAACATGTCCTAGGTGCCATGGGAGTGTTGGCATTCAGACTCAGATTGTACAAGACAGGACTGTTGCACACCAACCCTGCTATGCCTCCTGAATACACAGTGAAAAGAGCTGTAGCTGCAAGGTGCCTGTGTCTGATAGTCCTGGTCCCATGTGAAAAACAAACATTACCAAACCTTTGCTTTCAGAGGAAGATCAATTTGCAAAAACATTAGTGCCAAAATTCTACTAGTTGGCAAGTGTGTGGTACCCCCTTTAACATGGAAATTCTGTAAGCTCACCTGCTCTGGTTTGTGCTGCTGCAGAGCGTTATAAATGTAACTCAGACCAGCTCTCGTTAGCACGTAGGAAGCTTGCTCATTTATGAGTGTATCTAAATGAGCTTCAATCTGAAATGTTAAGCATAAGGTATTTATAAAGAGTGTGTGAGAATATTAAATGTAACAAGTTCTGGGGCTAAAACGTCTAGAAACACAAATAAAAAGAAAAAAATACACAAATAAGGAGAGTGACCAACAAACAAGGAAATACTACAATTACATACAGAGTAATTATTTTATCCATTTAACATCTTTCATATTACAAGCAACCAATAATAAAAATGCAGAGAATTCTTTCATGTCTGACTAATAAAAGAACCTATTTTTTTGTATTTGTAAATACAACACCACCAAAAATGAAGACTGTAGCCTTGATCTTAAAAATTCCTATATAATTTTATTTTGCTATAATTCTCTGAAAGTATGTTTTAAAAACAATTCCATTCTTATTGAAAATACTGACAATAATATGGCAGTTTTACAATAAACAAGAAACAGTCTTTCACAAGGAAAATAAAACTGAAACTAAATCATACTCAGAATTGATTTTAAATTCAATACTGATAAACATGTATTTGAAAAAAAGTCAACTGAAAAAACAATAGACAATGATATTACAGTTTTCTGCATTGTTTTAATTATCTTCATATGAAAAAACTTTTAAGAGTATTTTACATTCTTAATATAACCTTTACTTTGCAGGAAAACCTAATGCCTAAATCCAGTCACAGCAGCAGCAATCATTTTTCAGTTTGAGCAGTCTCAGACATTTGGTTATATATATATTATTACTCCATTTTACAGATAACTACCCCACAAACTTTTCTTCCAATCCTAAAGAAAAGAAAAATATTAAAGTCTAGTAAAAGGTAAGATTCTTTTGTCTGATACTTAAAGAGTTCACCTTTTTACCTCCTAAAATTGTTTAGAATACACTTTACTTTTTTAAATCAGAAGGGAAATCTTAATATTTCATATTGTAGTTTTTAACTGTCTTAGCGAGTTATTTTTCTATGAAAAGCATTTCTCCTATTAAATATGCCATTCTAACTCCACTTGAATAACCTACTTATGTATAATCTTAAAGATTTTTTTTCAGTCTGTTCCTGTATTTGTAAAATGTTTGAAGAAAGTAAATGGTATTAAAAGTGTAAGCTTCAGCTCTATTGCTTTTCTGAAGAATAAATCAATTGCAACATTTACTGTGAAAGGAACTCTGATAAAAGAAATTAGAAATACCCAGCCAGTTTGGTGAGGTTGTCTGTTTGCTTGTTTCAGAGCTAAAAGTGCTAGAAATTCTGATTAGGATTAGAAAGTGAAAAATGGCTCTCAGCCAATCCTTGCTATCCCTTCAAATAAGAATTTGTGACTTTTTTCAAGCCCCTCAGCTCCCAAGGCTCTCCTGAGATAAACTGCAGACATATTCATGTAGTAAAATATAAATGGGCAGTGGCCAAGTTTTTTTAAGTCAACAGTTTCTAAATTTTGACTTCCATTTCAAAACTGCACCACGTATGAACTACTATCCCAGGATGCGAGGGGAAACCAAACAAATGAGAAAAGAGAGGTAGAAAGCAGGACTGAAGCAGTAACTTCAGCTACACAATATTCTAGTACAAAGTAGATGATGATCTTACAGTAGATGATGAACTAACTGCATGATGGAATATAGTCAGACATTTGGTTGCGATTACAATTTCCATTTGCTTCTTCTCATACAGTTTACAGATAAATATTAGAATGATTATGATAATGAAATTGTTCACTGGTCTGGGTTTATCTGCAACTAAACCAAACAAACCCAAATCTTGTACTAATTTTTTGTCTTGTTTAAAATGAAACATGCTATCTGCTCATGGTCTCTGATAAGAAGCCCTCTTAGTCCATTTCCCTGATTTTGATAATGTTGGCTTTGGGCTGATTTTAACATAAATATATTCACAGCACAACTTACAGTGTGCGAAAATCAGGAATGAATTAATTTTCTTTTGGGGGTGCTAAAGCTTACCTGAAACTGTAACATCTCTAGACGTTTGTCAGTGAATTCAAAGAGAGCCAGAGTAGTCTTCATCATGTAAAGTGAATTTACCATGTAGGTTGCCATATCAGCTGTGCCCAAATTACTAGCAGACATAGTACACATCTGTAACAATGGATCTAGCACACAAGACAGAACCTAAAACAGCAAACACACAGAAAAGAAGGAAGGGAGGGAGGAAATCATGTCACACGAGGCTTCTAACCTCATTCTGTCTCTATCACATATTTATTCCCCAAAGTAGAATAAAGAGGAATGAGAGTTTCCAACTGTGAAAGCAGTTTTATACTGGATTTGTCAGCAGGTGATCACCTACCACAGGGATGGGGAAAGTATAAAAACCTGACAAGAACAGATTCCAGCCTAGCAGGAGGAAGAATAACCCAGATTAGATAATTGGTAATTGTGCAATCTTGAGGGTGTATTTACTTAATGGAGTAGTAATTGGATAACTGAATTTAGATACTGCATTAAGAGTAGCACTCCATACTCAGCTGTAATTATCCATATTGTTAGTCACCCTGTTATGCACATTACAAACTCTGGTTTGACAGAGAGCTCCAAAATGGGACCAGACAAAAAGATTAATGTTCCATCTACCTTTGTGTACTAAAGCTAACTTACACATTCTTTTTTTGCCCCTCTTCCTCCTCTTCACACACACAAAGCAGCCAAACATTCTTGTACCTGCACAAAGTCAGCCTGACGGGCATCCAGTGGAATAACAGATGAATCATGAGAAGCCAGAACCTCCCGGAGCAAGTTAAGTGTCTGATTTAGAGCAGAGCTTGGGCCAAGATCAGGAGGTGGGAGCTCAACCTGAGGAACAAAATTATTTGTTTGTGGGGGCTTTTATTAATCTCATTTACAGCAAATACCATCCAGTCTGTCAGCACAAATGCAATGAGCTAATAACAAAATTACATATAGGAATACAGAGAAGAACTTTAATTTGACACTGGACAAATCTAGCACACTTCAGACAATAACTGCCGGCAGCTTTCAGTATAACCATATAATTCAGTGCCAAACAAGCAACACTGAATTTCGCATTTCATTCAGACTATACCTACTTCACCATGTGGAGAAACCCAAACTCTACTGGTTTAGGCAGTGAAAAAAAAATACATTTACTAGATTAGGTGCCAAAGAGTAGCCACCTTGCTGGCACCACTGAGTTCACTTTGAGCAGGACCTCCTGCAAACACTTCAGAATGTAGTGCAGGCAGAGCTCTGGGAGATGAGAGCCACGCTGCAGCAGTTCTTGACAGGACTGCACAGCTCCTGTGATACTGAGTATGAGAGCTGCAGTCACAAATGCAACAGTCTCAATCCCCAGCAAGCTCACACCTTGTCTACTGCCAGTACACAAATGAACTGCACACAGGCCAACTCATGTAGACCTATATGAACAGCAAAGAGACTACAGAAACTGACATGCTGGCTTATGCAAAGGTAAGAAGCAGGTAATGCAGATGTTTAAAAAAAATAAAGAAACAAAGTTTGTGTATAATAGAGAAAAAAAGATATACTTTCCAAGTCAAATTATGAAAATTGGACCCCTAAATGGACTGAAACGCTATACTGTTTTTAACCCAGGCTTATATACTTTAGCCCTTTCTTTGGAACAGGCAAATACTCATTAAACACTTAACATAACATTTGTAGATCTAGCACCTCTTTTTCCCAACACTCATTTCTTAGGTTCTACTCCAAACACAGCTGCATCTTTTTGTCTCCAATGCTGCCTAAAACTGGCTTTCCGCTGCCTCCAATCCCTTACTATCACCTAATTTCTTTCTGCCAACAATCCACTTCCACCTTCTTCTGTTCTGTCCGTGCAAAGGCAAACACAGATGTGGCTGGATCATGTGGGAGTAAGGAGACCCTCAGCAATAGAGAGTAAGTTAAGACTTAAAGGCTTAAGTCTTAAGTTTGGATGGGTCTGGCCCATGTGAATCGGGCTGGGTATCTGGCCACAGCAGAGCAAGGCAGCATGCACTTCTGCAGTGCTCATAAGGCTCCAGCTCTAAAGAAAAGGCAGCAGCTTTGGATGGCTCCAAGTCCTGGGCAACATGTTCCACACCTTCCCGGAGGAGAAATACTGATAAATGGCATAGTAATATGGATGCTTGAGTCTTAAAGTTTAAAAAAAAATAAAATCCAAGGGGCAGAGGCTGATGGCCAAAGAAACCAAGGAGAGCACAGCAAATATCTTTAGAGCAGAACATAACAGAGTCTTCTGGAAATGAATCTATACCTGATGAACATGACAGCAAAGAAAGAAAAAAAAACATCTCTCTCTTTGAAACCAGGCCAAACTTTCACACTTGTGCTCTGAAACATTTGAGATACCATACATGTCCCAACACTGTTACCAAGACAGATTTAACGAAAACTTTTCTCATCTTTCTGAATAGAAAATGTTCCTCTATTCTCACTTTCCAAAAGACAGTATACCGAACTCAAAGAACTAATGGAAAGCTAAAACTAATAGGTTCGGAGAACAGTTGTTCAGTCCAAGCAGTCTTGAAAGTATGAAACAAATATTCTAGCAATAAAGTAATAGTAAGAGGCACTCCAAAAAGAGACACTTACTCAGTGTTGATCAGCAGTAAAGTTTACTGAAATTTACAGCACTGAATGACTTTTTCTTTCTTCTTGTTATTATTAGGACTATTGATTGTTTCCTGAACACCCCATTCTCAGCCTTGAACTGGACTGTGTTCAGCAATATTTTCACATTACTTTGAGACTAGAGTTTGATGGCGGTTTCACTTCCAACACTCACATAGATCATGGCAATTATAATTCCAGGCTGCTTTGCACAGAATTTTTGTCTCCTGAGGTAGCTAGCTGAAGCCCTTAAATAAGCTTCATCTTTCACTTGGCTGTTCCTTTACTGTCCACTGTCTTCTAGGTAAGTGCAAGGAACAACAAAATGGAAGAAGAAAATATTGTAAGGAAAAAAAGATTTATTTTAGATCACTAAATTTTATTTGGGTTACCCTGAAATTCCTGACTACTGCAATAGAGACAATACTATCAGTAAGTAGAAAAAGAATCAAAGTAGTGCTATATTAATTTTGAAAATTCTAACTTTTGTCAGATGAATACAAAGTGAGGGCTTTTTTTTTTTTCAAAATCAAAAAAGAAGATTTAAAAACTCACACTTCAAATTTATGCAGGAACCTACAGACTCCAACTCATGAGCACTAATCACTATTCTAATAAAAAAATAATTGATGCCCTGAATGTTCTACAGGCACTAAGAGATCATTATAATTTATCCCATTTCCAGAAAAATAGGTTTCAAATACATGCTGAGTTCTACTTTTGAAGTACCTCTTTCAGATGCAAGCTAGACAGCAGCTAACTAAAACATGATTAGGGAAGTTCTGCAGCAGCAAGTTCAACTGCATTAAAACATACTCTAACACAGTATTAAGTCTCTAATTTGCTTTGACTATCAGTTCAGTCATACAGAAATTATGCCAAACAGCTCTTCAGCCTTTCAAAAAACCCAAGAAATTGTCCATTTTTAAAATCTAACATACAAAACTGAAATGAATTCTGAAATGGGTACTGAAAGTTGTACATAAGCTTTAGTAAAAAATTTTTGTCTTGTTCTCTGCATATTAATCAGTGGGGAACAGATACTACCAAGCCAGTAATCTTCCTCCAAACATATAACAGAGCAGCTTCCTCTGTCTATAAGAGCAAGTAGCTCAAAGGATATCTTATAGAATTTTACAAACAGCAAAGAAAAATACAGAAAAAAGAAAAGGCAGTATCAACAGTTGAGAAGTGGGCATGTATGTTGTTTCCCTTTCTCATTTACATTAAAGGTTTGATTTTAAAAAAGGGCAAATTTTCTTCTGAAAATACTGTACAGTTGACCAGAACTTTATATACTGCAGTACTTTAACATTAGAAAGTTAACAGTTACAATGCTCAGGAAGGGAATGGAATACCTCCCACACAAGGAGAGGCTGTGTTCTGCCTGGAGGAGAGAAGGCTCAGGGGGGATGTTGTAAATGTGTATAAATATGTGAAGTGAGGGATCAAGATAGAGCTAGACACTTCTCAGTGCTGTCCAGTAACAGGTCAAGAGGCAATGGGCACAGATTAAGACACAGGAAAACAATTTTTTATTGTGAGGTTAGTCAAGCACTGGAGACAACTGCACAGTGAGGTTTTAGAGACTATACTCTGTGATATTAAAACATCAGCTAGAGCAAGTCCTGGGGAACCTGCCCTAGCTGACAGTCTGTGTCATGAGCAAGATGGCCGGATGAGATGGTTTCTAGTTTCCTGTTGAACTCATCCATTCTTTATTTCTGTGATACTACTACCAAATAAAACAAAATGGTAATTTAAAACACAGAACTCCACAGAGAAAGCCCTACTTACAAGTCTCAAAAGGAAGGTTAGTGGCTTTTATAAGAGCCTAATCAGCTTTAAATACAGTCTTTTAAAAAAAACCCACTGCCTGGGTCCAAAGTACTACAGAGAACCTTGTAAAAATGTTATGAATTTTTCATGCTGTCAGTTAACACTGAGCAGCATCAACTGCAGAGTCCATTCTCCTCAGCTGAGACAATATTCACCACCACTCCAAGAAACCCGAGCGTGTGTCTTATCAGAGCAGCTGTTATAAGATTTTCTGGTCCTATTAGGATCCTACAGAGGTCAACAAAGTAGAATACCTAATGGCATGCTTTTCTTTTCAGCTATCAAGCTGGTCTTGGAGAAAAAGATCACTAGGTTTTGCTTTGTTCTCATGGATCCATTTAAAAGCACAATAGCATTCAGAACGCAACAATAATAATCAGACTTATTCAATCTGCCCCACATCTGATTTCCCAGAAACCTAATAGGTTTCATTCTGGCAGGAATCAAATTATGAAGGACGAGTTTACAATTATTCCCATGCAACGTTTTAATATCTCTCTCACTGACAAACTTAAAAGATAATGCAATCACAGCATTTAATTAGCATACATCTACTCTAAAAAGAACAGCATTAAGGAATAACAATCCCAAAACTTAATTTGGGATACTCTACTAATAGTTTTCTAACAGCTCAGACAGCAGATGACTGGAGTTTGGCACAATCTTCATTAGTGCCCTTATGATAATTCTCATTCCATTTTATTAAATGTTTGCAATTATTCTTTCCTTTAATAATTGTTCTGGAACGCTAGTGAAACCAGAGGAAGGACATGTGGGCTTGAAAATTCCCACTCTCCTAATTTAACAGGTGGTCCAATAAAACATGCTAACATCAGTTGGTCTAACACATTTGTTAAAATGCCTCACCAATGGATTCATGATATTAAATAACTCCCATACTGAGGGGACTGCAAGAGCAGTCCATCCACTCCACTCCATTAGGTACTCTGAACTTTACTTCCAGTTTCATTGGAACACCTTCTGTCATTCTGATGATTTTTTTCATTCACTGTTTTCTCCTGGATTTATAATCTTCTGTAAAGAGGTCATCTGTAATGGGCTGTTCTTAGAATCAGACAACGAGTAACACAAGCAGAATCCTGAATTCCTATACATTTTTTATAAGCACAAAGTGATAAGAAACATGGAAAAGGATACATAAGGACTTTAATGATAATTCTGATCCACTTTACTAGCACTCTTGGTAGACCCATGGCTGGGTCCAAAAAAGCTAAAAAGCAACAAAGTCAGACACAATTTTTTTCAGCATAAGGACGCCAATACTGGCAAAAAACCATTCTAGTTCAACCAAGATCCAGAACAAATCAATTGCTACCAGAACTAGAAAGTACTGGCAAGAATGCCCAACACTGGCTCTGAAGGGTAAGAGCCACTAAGGCGAAGGAGAGACAGCATCTGCAGTAAGCTGATGAACCAAACCTTCAGTGACACAGGAGGAGGCTGGTGATGCACAGCTTCTGTAGGATGTCAACAATGAGCCCTACAGAAGCCTGAGAATCTCAAAGCCAGGAATGGCATTTTAAACCCTAAAAAAAAGGTGGCTTTGCAACAACTGTTACCAATCTTTGTGACAGGTTCCAAGAAGTGTCAGCACCAAAGAGACTCCCTTGTGCACTGCATTTCTTTGATAACAATGGATCTGCTTTCCAGCAGTCTGCTGAATATTTCTGTCACAGAGATTTCAGCTCAAACAGAGTTACCTGAGAAGCCAGAATGAGAACACCATAAAAAAAGCTTTCTCAGAACAAACAGTTTGAAGTTTAGAGCTGCTGACTATTTTATTTTCAGATTCCAACCAGGATGCTTGAGATTTTCTTATGTAATGAAAAAAAAGTTCATAGCAAAGTGCTTCTGGGCAAACCAGTAAGTATTCTGAAGTAACCAGGGATTTCCCTCTATCATTTACACCGATGGCTTGACAACCAAGAGAGAAAATCCTGATCTAAGACTGCCTAAAAGCTTCCATACACCTCCACACTAGTGACACTCCTTATGTAATATGGGACTCTTCTCAAAAATAGATGTGAAGAGGAAGCTATTTTCTTGTCCTAGAAAGAACAGCCTGAAGTCTCAGTTTCCCACTGTGCTTTAGAAATTAAATCCCAGGCAGACTGAAGACAATGCTCAATTCAGGATAATCAATAATCTAGGGAATTAAATTGTCTGTGGCGATGAGGACATCCAATTACCACCCTGTCATTTGTCTGCATTCTAAGGCTGGAATCTTGAGGAGTTAGCATATTTAATGAAACCTGCTTTGTCTAAAAAATGTTCCCAACCAGCTATACATAAAGATTTGCTTAAATCATATTCTGGTCTATCAACTACTAGATACAATGTAGATATTAAAAAAGAGAATTATCAGCAACAACAGATGACATTGAGGAAATATTACTGTTAAAATTGTCTACTTGACAGGCTATTCACCATTTTCCAATAATCTAAACAGAAGAGGCACTTAAACATATAGAAATAGAACTATTTTTACTTCAGAATATTCCATTTGCATTTTAATGTATTTCCAAAATTATTCAAATTATCTTAAGGATCACATTTTAATCAAAGTATTGGACAATTGTTATTCTTTGAAACAGGCTTATCAATGCCTTAAGATGCATAATCTAAATTGAAGTAAAAAACCATAATTCCCAGACTGTTCGAGTGAAAAATAATTTACTAATTTTCCCAGCGAATATTCTCTAGCTGCACAACATGAACAGCAATGAAGCTTTTGTAACTGCCTATGTAAGCACAAAAGGTCTATCTTCCAGGGGGTAATCTTCTCTGAAAATAAAAAAAATATCTGGAAGCAATTGCATTACATTCATAACAGGCAAGAAGCTGGAAAAAGGCTGGGATGTGAAGAAAATCCTAATACATATACACAATTTTGGTCTGAACACGCATTAAAACAAGCACGGTAAAAAGCAACCTTCAGTTTCCTCAAAATGTAAAGGCATTGTGACATTCACTACTAAATTTACAAAGACAAATGAAAAGGCATAAAACCTGCTTATCTGTACACTAACACAAAAACTAAGTAACAAGAGAATTAAATTTATGATAAAAGAAACATCTTTATCACATGGAAAATAATGTTTTCTCTAAGTGTAATCAGCCTATAAATTTTGTACTTTTTATGAAGAAAAACTAATTTCAGTCATGAAGAGATAAGACATCATTCTATCAATTCAGTAATCCACTCACAAATGGTAATAATATGAGGTGCTACGGAGGACTACCAAAAGCTCAGTTACAAGAACTACACATTAGAACAGGAAGATTTCTTCTCAGACATAGAGTTACCTCACGTTTAACCTCACATTTATGAACAGATTAATAAATAATTGTGGAAGCCTTCGTTACCCATATATCTAACAGTCCTCTAAATCTCTTTAAGCTTTTGACCTCAATTATATTCTGAGGAAAGATCTTCATAGGGCACATAGGCAATGTAATATTGTTGACATTTCAGATTTGATTTATAAATGTGTTTCTGAGAAAGAGCAATATTATGATCTTTCCCCATTACATGGTAGGCTTGGTATGTCATTCATTACTTGTAATAAAACACCACTGAAGGTGGCAGGGCAATCACTGCCTTCATTTAGGGCCAGTAAAAGCAAATTTGACTACTTTATAAAACAATGACAGCATCTAGAACCAGTTACATCCAGACTGGGGGGCTGAGGGAAGGGGAACTAGAAGGGCAAAGAGGAATACACAACCTTCTCACAGTGACAACAGAAAGAACACACACTATTGACTAGGGGATCATAATTCCTTTATCATCCTTCTTCTGATTCCTACACATTTCCAAGCTGAAAACAGTGTATCACCCAAAACAACACCTCACAGACTGTGAGTTATGTGAGTAGGAAAATCATGCTGGATCTTAATTAAGTATAGATGTAATACTCAACAGGATAAATAAATAAAAAAGAGATGAATAAAGAGATGTTTTCAAGCCAAGAATTTTTTTTTTTTAAGCACTTTGTAAACAAAGAGCAGTCATACATTTTTGCTATGGTCCATCACTGATTTCTTTTCATATATGGAAAATTTACACAACTTTATTCTAGCTTATATATTAGGAAATAAAGCGTTATTTGGTAAATTCATGTTGTCCTTGTCCATTGCATGCTTTAGGAACAGCTTTAGCTGATCCTTGAAGAAGCATTAATAGCAAAGGAACTATAAGATCCTGCATTCAAATGGAAATACCTGACAGCAACAATGCATTTAGAGGACTTTAGCAGTATGGACTGTGGGTGGTAGCAGCTAAGGAGTAACCAATGAACAAATGAAATCACTGAAAGGGGTCACTGGGGTATCTGGGAGAGAAGAGGAGGAACAACTGCTTCTTTGAGAAAGTCATTCCCCAGCTCCTGCAGAAAGACAGGAAATTAGGACCAGACAGACTCTGCTGAATGAGAAAACTCATCTGGAATCACAGAACAATACTGACAAAACTCAGAAAACCTAACTGAGTGGCCAGCAAATTACAAGTCTGCACAAGGAATAGTTTCTGGAAAATGAAGTAATTTTTTTTTCCATTTTTTGGTAGGTTAAATAATTTAGAAATGCATTTACAAATGTTACAGCAATCTTCATGTGGTAAAACTACTTTTATAATAGACAGAAAAGCCCCAAATTTTTTTTTTTACTTAGCTTATCATTTTGGGATATACCTTGAAACTTCAGAAAAGGAATGATGCACAATTAACTACTGATCTGATGATGCATTAATACAAATGATACAGCTCAATCGCCTGACTTTGCTCTACTGCACTTAAGAAAATTTCCTACTTTTGTTTCTTCTTGTAGATTTTAAAAATATGTAAACTGTTCTGCCAAAGAATGTTGCTAACCACAGGATTTTAGACACTTATCTACAAAACCTCCACCATTATTAGAATTAAAATATAAACAGCAAGTTTGTAATGTAGTTCTATGACTAAAATATTGAAAATACAAGACTTCAACTTTAGGAAAAGCTGACATATAAACCAGCTGTTTACCTAGTAATCTTACTAGACAAAAGGGAAATGCAAGCATGTTTTGAAACATGAAAGATGTACAATTTTGAAACAAACCTTGTCCATTAGTTTACTTGCATGAAGACTCAGGCTATTAAAGAATATTTTCTTGCTCAACAAATGCATTTCTTCAATTGTTGTCAACAGTGTGGCTGCATTGTTTCCTACAATACCACTGAAAAAAAATTAGAACTATTTAATGAATCTAAAGGGGAAACAACATGATAGTCAGATACTTAAATATAATTTTAAAAACTATTATTTTCAAAGTTTAAAATTTAGAACAAATAATTACAGGGAACAATTCTCCATAGTGGCTAAGAGATAAGCTTACTGTAAGAACAAGCATCATCAAGTATGTCATTAAGCAAATATTAAACACAGGCTATCAAACTTGCACACTTTTTTGTAGAGTACTAAAATTTACCAGAGTTTTGCTTTCTTATGCAATAAATCTACTTCAGTTATCAAAAACAAATTACATAACAAAAAGGGTTAACAATATTCTATCATACTGCCTGTTATCATTTCTGCACTGAGATGCTGGGCAACCCCAAAACTGTAAGAATTCATGCCTTGCAATTCTGAGTGTTAAACTATCACACTTAGCCCAGACACCACATAACCCTTAAATGGCTCTACAGGACTATGCTCCTCTCACAGATATACCCTACCTCTGGCTATAGGAATTGCACTTTTAAGTCCCAAAGTGTCAGTGAAAATTCATTGGTTCATAATAGGACTAAACCTCTATCTCAATTTTCAGATTGTAATCTTGAGTTTAAGAGATCATTTTCCAAACTGATTTTTCCTTTTATCAGTAAGGTGCACCTTCCCTACGCAGAGGAAATTATTCAGGTAGTAGAAGGTACTTCAGTGGTCTTTAAACATTGTGCTGTTAACAAGACAGAAACCAACAGATAAGACTGACTAAGATCTTCCATTTTAACATCATATTTTCAATTGAACCAAGCTTCATAACCATGGGGAAATGCTAATTTTGGAGACAGAAAAACAAGACCAAAATATTCCAGAATTTTTGTACAATAAAATTAAGAAAAGGCATTACATGTGTTCTACAATAGTCGTGCCACCACAGTTGAAGAATTTAAATAAGCTGGGAGGTGCCCAAGAACCACTTATCCCAGTCTGCCCAACATCTGAAGTATTTTCAGACAGAGAAGCTCAACTAGTAATACTAATGCTTCAGATTCTCAGCAGTTCAGTCCAGGGCTGTGGAGGGAGATATTTCTCCTACTGTTCTTTCTCACCAACATGAACTACAGCATATGCCACAGCATATAAATGATATATAAATTAGCAGCTCTGGCTTTTCTGCAGTTCCTGTATTCCTAGTGGCCTCTAAGAAGTTGGAAGGTGATCAGTGTATCTTCAACAGTGAGATAAGAGAGTGCATAATTAGGGGAAAAAAGTTATCAAAACACAACTATTTAAAACAAAACAAAAACAACAACAAAAAACAAACAAACCCAAAAAAATCCCAAAAATCTGAAGAAATTTTATTTAGTTACATTTTCTCAAAGGGGACTTGACTTTGTCATATGAAATGTTGTGGAGAGTTTTTTTGTAAACTATTTGAATCTACACAGAACAATGAAGAAACAGTTATTGTGCCAAATTCATGCTGTATTCCAAAGCAGTTTTGATATCAACTGAGGAATGGCAATGGGTAAATGGTTTCTGCTTATTATCCCATATGTTTTTACTTGACGTCATAGTGCAGAGCAACAACTCAGCAACAAAAGTACTCTTCCTAGCAAATTTGTTCTTACATACACAATTAGGGAAAAAAGGCATTTTTAACATATTTTGTAATTTTGCATACCTGATTGTATGGTGGTAGAACTTGAGCAAATTAGAAATCTTGTACAGTAAAACTGCTCCTGGCTCGGCAACAATCACCTGCTCAATTCTAACCTGTAGCATGAACAAATACAAACATTCTTCAGGTCATAAATTCTGAAAGCCAGCCTTCTATGACTTTATAGGCAATATATCTCTGATTTTTGAAAAATAAATTCAATTAGAAATACATTTTAAAAGAGAATGTCCAGTTAGCTTTAATGTTTGGCTTGAACTGAAGTGCTTCTGGGCTGCCAAGCATCTGGGCAGAAAACACAAAGGTGTATGCACACTTAAAAAAACTACAAATGCAACAACCCTTCCAAAAATCCTACAGTCCCTACAGACTTCTGATGTTATCGGAAATTTAAAAATATTTAGATAATTTTATGGATTAATACCAATACATACATACTGTGGAGTCTTCCCCAGCACTGAACAGCAAGAATGGCTGCAATGCTGCAGAATCATTAAACTACAGCAGTAGATTTCTACCATCATGCAGAAATTCAGAACACCAAAATATGAGGTATTTTGCCTAAGAAACAAACTTGACCTGGATGAATAAATTCTTCCCTGAAAGGAGAGCATATATATCTCCGACCAGTACTTACTTAGAAATATTTATAACTAATAACCAGCTATGTTGATTGTTTATCTCAACCAGGATATGCTGGCTACACAACAAAATGGTGCTGAGTGTCTTTACAGTTGGAGAGCTGATGTCTTCTCTCCTTTGTCTCCTTGGTACACACAGTCTCAATCCAGTCACAGAAAGCTGCTCTAGGGTCAATCTTTGTGCACTTATGAAGCAGAGTGGACAGTGACTTATCCCTGCACTGCTCTCCCACATGCCTGAGTGTGAAAGGGCTGCACACAGATCAGTAGCCACCACCCACTCTCCCAAGTTATTTGCTGTTCAATAGAACACAATGTGCTGCAGTCCCTTCTTAGAGCCAGCTGTAGGGAGAACTAACCAAGATTACGTTCTCTCAATCCTTTCAGTTTTCATCTAATTCACAGCCCACCAGCAAATAACACTTTTTAACTCTTATTCACAATACTTAATGCATGAAGTTTATTTCAACACAAAGGTGAACTTTGCTCTTCAATGTATTTGTACATACAGAAGTCTATATACAAATATATGTCTCCAGTGTCACCTAAAAGTGTCTCCAGTGTTACCTGTGGGCATGAATACTGAGTACATTCTAGTTGTACAGCAAAAGAGAATAAGGCAGGCAGGGGAAAAAGAGGGAAAACAACACATTAACAAAAAAAAAAAAAGGAGTAACTGAAAGTAAATAAAATAATTAAAAAGTGAACAAGAGAACAGGCAAGAAAAGCTGTGGTGACTGTCCTATTAGAACAGGCGTCTTCCAACACATCAAAAACAAAAAGGTTGTGAAGGATGATCATAATTCTGTAGCAACAGGCAAGAAAAGAAAAAAAAAAGATTTTAGGATCACGAGAGAAAAATAAAAATTAAAAAGACAAAGTGGGAAAAGAAGAACTGCAGCTTCCCATATAGAAGTCTTCACTGCACTGGAGAGCCAAAATTTGCAAGTGATACAACCTAATCTGTTTGGGGAAGCTTTGGATTCAGAGCTCTTACTATTTTTTAGTCCTGTACGTCCTGTTCTTAGCTGACTATAAAAGACTACCTGCAGTCCACATAGGGCATCAAAGACATTTTGCTTTGAACTCATCTTAAATGTTATGGAAAAGCTGAGGAGTTTAATAGAAATGTTTTTTAGGATTCTCCTACCTCCAACTGAAATGAGAGGCCTGTGCTAAGATTTGCCACTAGGGAGTATTCAAGAGTCACTTAAGTGCCTAAAACACAAATCAACTATCAGTAAGAAATGTGGGCAATTTAGACTGCATGTAAGCATAACGATTCTACAATATATTGTAGAAAAGATTCCTCCAAACTGAATCAGTTACTGTTGTTCCTCTGAACATGGTGGCTTGTAATTATCTAATTACCTATTATGCATTGTCTCAAAGCTCTTCTGCTTGGGGGCTTCTCAGGCAGGATTTTTTCTACTTTTTTTTTTCCTTTCCCGTCAGGAAACAATAAGTGTTTCATACTTTTTACTGGAAAGTCTAGACTGTCAATGAATTAATGTAAGTTGCATTCTATTAAAATACAGAATACAATGGGAAGTCTTTAATTGTTCTTTTAGGATTTTTTTTTACTAGCACAGTAACTAACCAACAACAATATTTCAGGGGATTATTTCTAAAGAGACTACCAGCATGTAAGTGTAAAGAGTTTGGCAACTGAAATTAAAGTTACTGTGTATTTAACTATAAAAATCACAAGCACTCACATCAACACCAAAACTTCCTCTGACTTACACAGGAGTTTCATTCCTAATTACTTTGCTGGAATGCACAGAAATACTGGACTCAAACATCAGCATTCAGTATTAACAGAACTGATTCAAGAGTACAGAAAGTTTGGAAATATCTTTCAAAAAAACAAAGCTGTGGTGACTGTCCTATTAGAACAGGCGTCTTCCAACACATCAAAAACAAAAAGGTTGTGAAGGATGATCATAATTCTGTAGCAACAGGCACAAAACTGAAATACAAGAGATTCTGTCTGAACATCTGGGAACATTTTTTATTTTACTGTGCAGATAGGTGGCTGAGCACTGGCATATGCTGCCCAGCGAGGCTGTGGAGCCTCCACCCTTGAAGTATTCAAAAGTCACCAGGACACAGTCCTGGGCAACCAGCTCTAGGTGGTCCAGTCTCAACTGGGAGTTTGGACCAAGTGACCGCCAGATGCCCTTTCTAATCTCAATTCTTCTGTAATTCTCTGACTTTCTAAATGGCACTTTTTTGAATTTTACCTCTCTCCAGACCTTATCCTTTTCTTATCACAAACTTATATGCAGTATCCAAAAACTAGCTGTTCACATTTGAAACTGAGTATTTGTCAAGTGGATACGGTTGTTATAGTTACAGAATCCTAAGAGAAATTTATTATAATCATATTGAGGCAGAGTAGCTTTTGCTTTAAAACCACCTGGATTTATACACTGCACAGTCAGGCAATAATTGGTATCAGCTTCATCACTTTGATTACTTCAGTGCTTAAGTGAAGCACATACAATAGACAAGTCAGGCAATCATTTGATGGATCATCATTAATGATTTCTATCACATGTGTCCCCTAAACTTACTAAGGCTGTAGTCTGAAAAAAAGACAAGTATAGAAAGATGTGACAAATACAAAAGACTGAGGTAGCATAAAGATGGTAATTAGGAAACAATTTTTCATGGTGTCTTTAAAATACAAGAGCAGGAGTTATTAAAACAAACCCAAAAAAAACCCCCACAAACCACAAAAGGAACTGGCTTTTCACACCAGAGCTGAAATGTTCACTTCCCTCCTGAAGGATACGTTGTGAATATCAATAGTTTATATCAATTTGACATGTTCATGCAAGTAAACATCTGTTGAAATCTATTATATACAAAGAAGTTATGGCTCAGTAAGTCCTTAGTATATTCACAAACAGGCAAGGAAACTATCCTACAGAAGTATGGCACAACTACACAACCTGTACACTCTTCCCTAAGCATAATGATCACTATGAAAAACATGTTAGTAAATTACATGGATTTTTCATTTGACTACTACCACCAGTACAGCTATTCCCATACACTTACCACAAAGCTGTAATTTTATACATCAGTACTCTTCAACATAGTAAAAGTAAACCAAAATCAAGACTCAAATTTAGCATCCTAGTATCCCTCCTTATATGACTATTATAAACCAGATATCTATGAACAAAGGCATCTTTAATTTGAGAAAAAATCTTTTAGAAGTCAACAATCTAATTCTTAACCAAGGGCAATGAAAATACACTGAAGAGATGGAAGCACAAGTTCCGAAAAAACATGACAGAACAGCTTTTGTATTTAGAGTGCTAAGGAAAACAAAATACTTCACCTTTAGAGGCCTGCAGACACCTTCTGTGATGTGTCCAACTACTTCTTGAATATTTTCTTCCACACCTATAGTTAATGCAAACACATGCTAAGATTATGCAAATGTAATTCTCTTTTCTTCACATTATAAAACAAATAAACAAATGTAGGAGGTACTCCTCCATAAAAAGCATTATGAACTGTGTGTTCTTTTCTCCACGCAACTAGTTCACACCTCCACTGTACCTCCAATCTAACCATTAAGAAATAGCTGCACGGCAAAACAGTCCTGGAGTCGTTACCTTTTGCTATGCAATTGCTTCCTAGGGCAACACAGTGCGTGGGAATCTGAGGTAGAAGCAGCAAATGATTTAGCAAGAAGCTATCTCAGTAAGGCTCAATATTAGCACTTCATGAAATTGAACTAGAAAAACACCCAAAAAAACACCAGGCTGGTGAGACACTCCAGGAGCAGCAGCACAGCCCGTTTGCAAGGCCTGACTGGCAAACACACGTGTCTGTCAGCGCTGCTTACTGACGAGCTCGTGGCGCTGCTACTAATGAAGTGACATGTGTACCTCCATCCACACTGCTGCGTGCTGCAGCGCTGGCAAACGCTTCCTTCCCAGCAGCAATTGAAACTCATCTTCCACAGAACCATGTACAAAGGAGAATATTGCCCTATCTTAGCACGAAGCACAAATGAATTGTTGCATGGCAACCAGTGCTGTCATAAATCAATCAAGCTGAAAGCAACAGATCTTCAAGCTCTCACTTCAGTAACAACTCAGAACAGATTTATGGAGAAAGCAATACTTTAATTCTAATTTAAAACTTGTCAACAGGAGTTCATCTTCAGATGGGACCCATGCAATGAAAGTAAACAAACTGACTGTGACATGTGACAGAAATCAGGTGACCTGAAGCTATATTTTGCTTATTTCAGAGTGAGACAGATTAACTCAGAGAGTAAAAATAATGAAAGATCAGAGATCTGTGCCAATGCCTCTTTACACCAAGTTACATGAAAAGCCATATAAGCAGTAACAACTGAATTCAGTGTGGCGTCTGTAAGAATTTCAACATACTGAATTGGTAAGGTAATCAAAATACACGTATATACTTGAGTACTGATATCAAGGCAAAAAGCAAGATTACAAACCACAGCATGCACGCTCTTTTACCTAATGGCTAGCTCCCAGATAGACCTTAGCAGTTTACACATTTTTTAGTAGGAACAGTCACACTTGTACTGCTCATCAATGTAGCAAGTACCTAGCACATATTTGCAATAGTGTATCTAGACCAGATTGACTTAAAAACAAGTTGTTTGGTATGAAAATTTTAGCTCAAAAAATATACAAGCTCGAATACTAAAGGACATGGAATAAAAATTTTGAGATACCACATGCTTGTGCCTTCGCATGTATTTTCATGTCCAATTAGAATTCTGGATTCCAAAAGCAGTGAAATCTTCCAGCAGAATGGGTTATATAAGTGGTGCAAGTTTGACATGAAAGAATTACAGAATAAACAATTCTCAAAGGTCCAAAATAACTTTTAGAATACAGCTCATAACTGAAGATACACTTCCAACTCCTTGCTACACCATATATAATTTTTCTCTGACTGTCCTTCTATAAAAGGAGAGATCTTTTTTCGACTTTGTTTAGCTTCTGTTCTCCATCTGGGTTCCTGTAACTCCACAAAGAATGGGTTTCCACTGCATCTCTTAAAATGCCTGCAATTCTCAATTCCTTGCAAGAGAAGATTTCTCTTGGGAGGCTCCTGCTAGCTATAGAATACCTAAACTCTGAAGAGGAAAACCAGGTGCTTTACGCTTGTCCAGCAAAAGAGTTAAACTTTTTTGAATGTGTTTTCAGCACTTAAAATTTTAATAGCATTTTTGGTCAGGTTAATCTGAAACAGCTAATTTTTGCAAACTTAATATTTTAAAACTTTTAAAAACTATCCTTGCACACTCTGCTTACGGGCTACATAGTTTGGTCACTTTAAAGTAAAAACTGGGACGGAAACGTTTCTCAAAAAAAGAAGTTCCACATGTACAATTTTTCATGCAGTGGGACCATATCCACCAACAGGTATACAAGTGGCCTTTTTTTTTTTGGTTGTTTTTTGAGAAAGGAAATTTTTGTATAGTTGAGATTTACCACATTCTCCACAGTCCTGAAAGTACACAGAGCTTATAGGAGAATTTAAACAGAAATCTGAATTCAGTACAGACAGACACACCTGAAGGAAAATAACAGAAGTGGTTCCATCTGTAAAAAATTACTAAAGTTGAAATTGAAGTGAAAACATCTGACTGACCTAACTTCAGACAGCCAGGTAGGTGTTTTATCTATGGCAGTTGCTTGGGCTCCCTCTATGGGGGAATGGAAAAAATCCCAGTTTGTGATGAAAGTCTCCAGAAATGCTTACATTAGATCTCAAATTTTGTTAGGAAGCACTGCACTCTGAAGATGCATATCTCTATCCTTATCTCGAACTGCAAATAAACAAGATGTCCACTTGTTAAATAGCAACATGAAATTAACTCAATTTTTACTCTAGCCTGCACAGCCAGACACCTAAAGACTGCACAACAGTACAGAAAATTCAGCCTGAGTTTTTCAGTACCAGAGGTGCTGTTCCAACTACCAACTCAGGACCAGAATTTATAAAGAACAGATAATCTCAGGGTATTTTGGGGTTGCACTGCCCATAACTGTTTCTTGTTAAATCCAGTGGTATCCTATTAAGTACTGTTTTGTCTTACAGACCTTATCACATCACTATCCTTGTCATCAAAAAAATTTCCCCCAAAACACAGAGGAACAGTTACAGACAGCATCTCCCAAGCTCCCAGTTTGTTGCTCCCAGCATGAAAGGAAGAATTCCTCTTTACATTTCTTGAAAACTGTGCACCAGTGATAGCAGACCCACTCCTGGAGAGCTTCGGAAAACATATTTTTCCTTCAGACTGAAATACTGAATCTCTTGTTTATACCAGTCTTTCCAGAAAAAGGTTTTGTCCTCGTGACTTTTTGTTGAAAATCTCTCCCCCAAATATTTATATTCTCTATATTATCAAGTATCTTGCTCTGTGGCTGAAATGCTCTAAATATATCTCATTCCATGGTCATACTACCTCAGGCCAACATCCTGTCAGAAGGCCAAAGAACTTCATAGTTAAACAAAGCACTACACAAAGAAGTGGGAGAATTTCAGAACAAAGCACAGCAGCAGAAGCCCAGTCCACAGCAGAACCAGACACATTTACACCCTCCATGTAAATGGAGCTTGTCCTGAAGGGCTCCCCAGTTACAGGCAGAAGCATTGGTCAGTCATCTACAAAGAACTGCCATGTCTTTTTCTCTCCCATAAAACCTTCATGAGGTCTGCTTTCCTGTCTCCCTGAAATACTGTCAGCAAACAGTATTCAATTCACTCCCACAGTACACTATAACTGTACTTAAAAACCAGCATTCCTCCAGTTTGATTTACAACAGTTCCTGAACATCCTCCTTTTCTCATATAACAGCAATAAGGGAAGGCAATTAATACTTACAGCAGTAAGGAAAATCAGAATACATATTAACTTTAAAACCCAGAGTAGGACTGAGACATACAGTCTGAAGAGCTCATCAGACATTTATCACATGTAAGTTCTTACAATGAGTTTGTTACAATTGAGTACACATGCTAATTTATAAAAAAATATCTTTGAAACTATGGTGGCAAATCAAACTAAAGCTTCTACAGGATAAAAGTCTTTAAAGTATAGCTTCAATCTACTGAAAACAAAGCAAAGGGGCTGAAGACTAAGGATGAGAATCTGCAGTTCTGAACTGAAGGAGAGTTTTCATATTAAAAAGCTCCACCTATTTGTGAGTGGCTTATGTCAACCTCTATAAACTGGAATGATGTTAAATGACAGATGAAAATTCCATTTTCCTTGTAGAACAGAGACTTACAGAAACAAGGAATTATATTTTTAAAAAAGAAAAACTAAAGAAAAGAGCAAAGGCACAATGAAAATCCTCAACATAATATGTAATGTTTTCAAAGAGATATGTATTCATATAAATTACAAAACAACTCTCAACCATACCCTAAAATGTCCCTTTGTAAATTTAATGTAAATCTATTGTAAGTACAGTAAAATAAAATGAGTGCATTTTGAAACATTCTTCTTTTGTTACAGGCCCTCTTTTGGTAGAATGCAACCACCAGCTATTCTGAGATTATTTTTAGGAAAATTTAAACTTAGACTTGTAACTGAAGCCCAGCCTAAGAAATCAGTCACACTTTATCACAGACTTACTATCACTTCACAATTTATGTTTTAAAACCAGTACTACCTTGAATAGTCACAAGCTTTAACATAGCTTCTAAGTGTTCTTTTTCAGATGCGGTAGCTTGATGCAACCAGGCCAGCATGTCTCCTACATACCTACACAAAGACAGAAATTTCTGTGTAAATTAGTGGTTTATGGTGTCAGGAATTCAAAATGCCAACAAAATAAGGGTTATTTCATTACATTCTTGTTAGCACTGTACCTCAGAGGATCGTGAGAGTGCATTTCAATAGGGCGGGGAGTACCTCCCAGACCTCCTCTAGTAAGAGCATCTATAAAGCCACAGACCACAGCACTCCTTCTAGCTGTCCCAAACTCATCCAACGTGTACCTGTAATTGAAACATGAAAACAGGTTAAAAAAATCCAGTCTGCCTCACCACAGGTGATTAGTTCAGCCTCACAGCTAATACAAGTAAACATTTTTATAGTTCTAGAAATCTTGCATCAATGCTTCTACTATAAAGCATTCAAAACCATCTGGTGATGTCAGAATTCCTATCATCCTGCTCTATGGTACATCTGGCAAACAGGAGAAGACAAATTTTAAGTTGTCACCTGCCTGTCTGCTCTAGAGCAAATGTGTAGGATCAGATGAGACTTCTGATATTGCAGACAGGTGCTGCAATATATAGTCTTTTTTATATATATATATATACATACACACACACATATACACTGTCCTTTTCTTCTTTCTTGGTTGGATAGCTCTTAGTTTCCAGGCTAAATTAATTACCTGTCACCTTATTATTTGTGGAGTTTTTCTACTGAATTTGACCATTTTTTCTAGCGTGCCTCCTCTGGTACCATTGCAAAATAGACTGAAAGAAGTACTTGGCATTGTGTTTCCCACACAGGAGCATTGGCAGAGGCCACAGTCTTTCCAGGATCAGGTTAATATTACTGAAGAAAGAAAAGGGGGTGAGAAAAGAAAGTGAAGTGACTGCTTCTGCAGTGTCCTGCAGGGCATCAGGCACTGCATTGCCAGCCAGGAAAGGGAGGGGATTGTCTCACTCTGCTCTGCACTGAGGCAGCCTCACTTCAAGTGCTGGGCGCAGTTTTGGGTGCCACAATATAAAGAAGACTTTAAGATGTTAGAGCTTGTTCAAAAGAGAGCCACAAGGATGGTGAAGGGCCTGGAGGGGAAGCTGCATGAGGAGCGGCTGACATCACTTGGTGTGTTCATCCTGGAGGAGACTGAGGGGAGACCTCACTGCAGTTACAGCTTCCTCATGAGGGGAAGGGGAGGGGCAGGCACTGATCTCTTCTCTGTGGTGACCAGTAACAGGATCCAAGGGAATGGCCTGAAGTTGTGTCAGGCAAGGTTTTGGGTGGATATTAAAGAAAAAGTTCTTCACCCAGAGCATGGCTGGGCACTGGAAGAAGTTCCCCAGCAGAACTGATCACAGCATCAAACCTGACAGAGCTCAGGAAGTGTTTGGACAATGCTCTCAGGCACATAGTGTCACTCTTGGGGATGGTGCTTTGCAAGGCCAGGAGCTGGACTTCATGATCCTTGGGGGTCTCCTCCAACTCAGCATACTCCATGATCTTCTTGATTCCTCTCAACAGACACTAAAGAGAACTGTTCCTTGACTCTCCCATTCCCTTACCCCCAGAATTAAATACATGAAAACTCAGCTTTTCAATTTTTGTACACATAAGCATATTTGACAGGTGTGGGACTCCTGTTTGCGTAAGATCCAGCTGACTGACAGACAGACACAGCAATTCATTGCACTGCAACACAAGGCTTCTGCCTTCTAGGCTACCACATGACTAGCAGGAACAGACTTATATTCATCTGACAGTTGTTCACTGACTTTAATCAAAGCAGTTGTAACTAGGTATTTAATGGATGAACAATTACAGCCCAGAATGTATTATCTCAATGGCTTGCTGGTGGTAGAGGAGGTGCTGATAACTTACACACGGCTAATTTTTAGAGCAGGCTACCTTTCTGCTGGCATTGAGGCATGAAAGCAAGTGAAGGATGGGAAATGAAAGCTGGTAACATCCCAGTTATATTTGCAAGCCATAGAACACTTCTATTTTTTTAAACTAATTTAAGTTTGTATGTTTGAAGAACATACAAACTAAAAAGGAGAGAAAGAAAATACACGTTACAATTTATTTTTCCAATGTAACTGAAAATTGTCAATGAGTGAGCATGGTGTCACTTACCAATGACACTCAGCAGAGGAATATAATACTAATAAAAAGAATTTTATTCACTGACTTATTTAAGTCTGCACTTAATAAGCAGTACATTCACTTTTAATAGATGTAGAGAACAAAATATAAAAGAAAAAATACATGGCTTCAAAAATGTTTGGCATTAATTCAATTAGATTTCTACTCTGCTATAAAAAGTCAGAGGAAACCTTCAGTTTTGTTCTTTTCAATCCTAATTATTCTATTAAAGAGGTGAGGAAAGAGCACACTGAAAAATCTGGAAATTTCTGTTGGAAGTGTTTTTCCTCATACACTGTACTTGCTAAGCTGGAGAGTAAATATCTGCAATTGATAGAAGTCTAACAAAAATTCTAATAAATTACTACTTACAAAAATAATGCAACTAAAAGTAGAATAGATCTAGCATCTGACAACTGCCCACTGTCTAGAAGGAGCAGTACTGGAGTGAAAAATCTCAAGCATCTCTAGAAACCAGTTTGCCCTTTTTTTCCTCTCTAACAAGCGGCTATACAATAGATCATTAAATATACAGCCGTGAAACAGATCTTGTGATCATTATTAGTTCTGAAAACAGCATTCAAAATGATAATTTTGTTTTAAAAGGAAACTACTAATTTTCCCTTTGCTCTCAGTAGAACAGGGTATAACCATTATAAAATGCTACATGTTAAAAAATTCGGCAATAACTATTATTTACACTAGAACACAGTATTTACTACTATGTTATTACACATACTCATGTTTGGAGAAGAAAACATTTGGATGTTTTTCAATCCAGCTTTAATGTTTAAAATATACAGTAATGATCACTGGGGAAAGAGGAAGAAAGAAACCTTTTGAAACCTGTGTGGATGATGGAAGAGGAACACTGCTTTCAGCTATGTCTCCGTGCATTTTCTAGGAAACAGTTCACAATTTTTCTGTTAGAGCCAGGAAGTGAAAACCATTTTGAAATGTTTCTTTTACATCCCCTACTGACTGCAGTTCCAAAAAGTCCATCCATAGTGCGGTCCTTCTGATACTTTTAGTTGGTAAGTCAATATAAGGAAACAAGAATTTGTAGAGTTGGTTCTAAACTCTCATCCTTCTCCATCTTACTCACTTTCACCCAAGTGAATCCCAATCTTTATCAGAAGCAAGGGCAGTGATTTGGAGGGAAAGTGTTTAGTTCACACAAGAGTGCTAATACACAAAAAAACTAATTAAAATTATTTTCTCCTGTGACTTAATTTCTACATTATGAACTCAGCAATTTGTTGCTTAAAGGTATACAAAAATTTTTATAAGGGAATAAACTAAATCTTGAGATTTAAAATGTAAGGCATCAGTGCTGCAATTTTGATAACATGCTGTAGCAAGTAATTAAGCTTGATAATCTAAGATGAGAGACACGTGTCTGCATCATCTACAGTAACAGGGGCTTTTTGCCCTTTTGGCAGAGGAAAGGTCTTACCAATCAAATTCTATCTTTGTTAATACTATTACTGCTGTTTGTGACAGAAGTGTCAGAAAAAAAATTATCTTTTGCAGATTCATTTTAAACTGGCCAGCAGTGGATTTATACACAAGATGGGGTTTTCTTCCCTTGAAGTAAGAAAGCAAAACAATGATTTTATGAAGTTTCAAAGTATCATAATTCAACAAAGTATTTATTACAGAAAATAAAACTGCATCTAAAAAGAATCCTATAAAATGTTGTGAACATCATAGTGACTGATCTTTTGCAGCTATAAAAGAGGGCGTAGGGGAGAGAATGCAAGAAGGGACTCCAATTCCCAGCTATGCCCTGAAGTACTGCAACACACCATCCAACAAGCTGGGGAGGTCAAGCGACACCACTTCTCCCTCATGTTAACCAGCAGAGCTGACTGAGCATGTCCAGCTCTGAGCTTTCTCTCACACTGACAGCACTTTTCAGCTCCACATCCCCCATGCACTTTTCCTGTGAAGGGCTCCAAGAAACTTTACAGCATCATGTACCTACACCTTCACACTGACACTCCTAAAGACAGGTGTGGGCCTTGGAAAGGCTGCCCTGGATACCTGTGGCGGAAAGCAATTTTTCAATGGTAGCAAAATGTGATGAATGCATTAAAAAAAAAAGAAAAACAAAACAAAACAAAACAAAACAAACAAACAAAAACCAACGAAAACCAAAAGCCCAAACCCCAAAGAAGAGTAAATAACCTCTTCAGAGATGGTTACCCCAATAAACAGTTCTTACAGTGCCATCTGGTGGTTTACTCTCCTAAGTACCATTTCATTTACTTCAACACCAGCAAATTCAGAATAACAGGAGTATTTTACACAGATATAGATATATAAATACCTTCTACACTTTAGAGGTCCATATGTAGGATTTTTTAATAGATTACTGTATAACTCATAATGGAAGACATTCTTACTACCACAGGCACTTCAGTAAGAGGTAATTAGCCTTTACCAAATTTTTACTTTGAGGACTCAAAAGATACAATCACATGTTTTGAACAGGATTTTTTTACTTCAGAAAAATCCTAGAATGAGAGCACAGGAATTCACAATTAATTTAAATTAAAACAGTCTGACATTTTACTTTAATTAGAAACTTTTAAGTTAGAAAAGTCCAATGACATTTCCTGTATCATAATTATGTCAGAAAGACTTCTGAAATTTAAAACAGTCAAAATATCATGCTTTATAACTTAGGTTTCTGAGTAGTTTTGAATTTGGCACAGGACCAAAGTGTCACCAGTCTTGGCACTGTAATTCATGCCCATCTTTAAGTTTTATAAGCTCAAAATACCAGCTTCTGTTAGAGATAGCAAACACTTACTTGTACAGGACAGGTCTATCTTGTAAGGCTTCCATGGCTTGAGCAAGAACTGGAGAAATGTCACATGATTCTTGTGTCAATGTCCTGCATTCATCTATAAGATACCAACACAAAAGCACACTCTTTACCCTGTAATACATTTCATACAAGCTGTCAAACAAGAAAAAAAGATAAAAACTCAAAGGCTTTTCACTTTGAAGACTTCAGAATATGCTACCAGGGCTAGTTAGTGTTAATACAATTAAATTCCCTGCAGGGAGTACTATAAAATGCATGTCCATCACCAATTTCAACAATAAAAATGATTAAAGGAAGTTTATTATTTTTTCATGCCCACATACAAATATTGACTCATTCAACCTTCAGAATTTCATTGGGCTCCTTTATAACTGTTTACCACACTTCAGGTAAAGTACTAAGAAAAAATGGAGCAACTAGTTAAGCAAGCTGTTTGCTTTGCCATTTGATTCTGTTATTTTTTCTTTCATCAAAATAACTATATAATCTTTTATATTCCAGGCAAGAATGTGGAAATCATATAAACTAGATCAAACATTGACAGAAAAATTATGACTTTTCATAAGGGTGTAACCACAACTATTATTTGAGGTTTCAGCGTCCACTGAGGAACAGCTAATGAATATAAAAGTCACATTGCACCAATTTTTCCCCATGAATCTTACTGTCAGTGAAACAGTCTTTTGCTTTGGAGAAGAGCAAGTATATTTGATGTATTTGAGGCTATCAAGGTGTTGGATGACTACATCCAGAGTACACATTAAAAAAAAAAAAAAAGCCTACTATCATTCAAAAGAGCATCCTAACAAAAGGATTTTTTCTTTTCTAAAAGTAACCCACCACCCCTCCCACTAAACTAGATCCTACTATCAAATCATTAAAACCAACAACTTCTCTCTAACTCGCAAGAAAATGAAATTCAATACAATTAAAATTTTGTTTGGACTACCAAACTGTAGTAGTTGTTCTTTGGGGAAAACCATCTACTAAAAACACAAATAAATAATCCACTTTTATAATAATGAAATTGACCCAAAAACCTAGAGAATTGCCAATTAACAGTTTGGCTCCCTAAGAAGGAAACCAAAATGTTAATATATCTTGGAAGGGGTTTGTGCTAAGTTCAATCCACATGAAGGAATTATAGGAATCATCATCATAATAATCATAAACATAAAAACATTCTTAGTCCTACTTTGAGTCCATCTGTAAAGTCGTTCATAAGATGTCTCTTGCAGTAAAGCCATCTGTTCCATAATTTCCAAGCTACAATACAAATAAAAAGTGTATTTACAAATTCTATTTTAGACAGTACTAGCAAAGGCACTTCAAGTAAAATTCAACATATCATTATTAAAATTTTGAGTATTTTAAATTTTTTTTGGTGAAATATTCTGTATATTTCCGTGTATATTCTGTCATATGAAGCAAAGAATGAGAGCTTGCTTTAATTTCTGCTTTTAATTGTAAATGGCTCTCTTGCACTCATTTAAGTAGGACTCACCCTGCCCTTTGCTGATTTGTTCGGAGGAGAATCTTGACATCATCATGAATTTGTTTTACTCGTCCCAGAGCCTTGAAAAAATCCTAAATAAATTGAAAAACAAAATACAAGCAGCGTGTAAAAGCAGTAATTTCTTCTTGACCTGTCCTGTAAAGTATGTGTTTTTCACACCCATTAACTCTAGGGAGATTTTTGAGGACACCACTATGCATTACATCACTGTCTCCCATTACTGTTAGAAACTAAGGAGCAAAATGAAACATTGTGAAGTACAATGATTGCAGGTTGATATTTTTTGTACTCACGAAATGGGATAACTATTTCTTTAAAAAAAAAATTAAAAAAAACATTTGCAATTGACCAGACTAAGGTTTTCCAGAATAACCTTTCTCTGTGGAGTAACTCAACAGCAGCAGTGGAAAAAAAAAATAAAACAAACCTAAAGCCTAGAAGACAAGTACATACGGCTAAAAAGGTTACTTTGTTAGTTTCAGAGTGCAAATAGAAAGCCAGTAACATTTTCAAACAGGCCTTCCTATGAAGACATATTTAAAATGCCTTGGAGGAGACCAGCATTTCAGATATAACTGTTTGTTACATCTTTTCTGATTTGAACACAGTTTGCTCAGGAACGTTCATTCTGGTTCAAGTCACATAAAAATAGACATATTCTAAGTAAAAAAGGCCAGCAATTTAATCTACTGCCTTACATCAACTGTGTTAAAGACCATGACTATAAAAACCCAAAGCACTCTTCCTTTGGGATAAATGAAAATTTCCAAGCCGCAAGTCTGACTAAAGGTGTTTTAAGGACATTGGTTGACTCTATCCTAGGGGAAATGCACACACATGATGTTAATGAAGTCTACCAACCAAAGCAGAAGAACTGTTTTATCTCAGTTACTTATGCACATTTTTAGATTAAGTTCCAAAAGGGCCTTGCTGGCTGCAAATTAATCACACAGTAACTGGCACAGCGCTGCTGTCATTGCTCATTGCAATAGGTGCTTCCTAGAAACTTGAATGTTTTTTCCTGGCAATAGTGGTACAAAAGCATACAGCAATTACTCAAGTGCACAATTATTTAGCACATTCTATTTATGCTTTCATTAGCACTGTTTATGGTTATCAGTTCCATGTTTTTAACAGTGCTTTTAATGCAAACAGGATGCCTGTGAAAATGAGATAAATCTGGACTACCTGCTGATAAACTACATGCAGCTTTCCATGCAACTACAATGATAAAAAAGTCTATTTGGTATACTCAATTCTTTCATTATTCAGTTTGCTTTTACTGTAGATCAAGTTTCCTTTTACTCTTTCTTATTCAAACCATGTCATATTCCAAAACTTATTTTGGAAGGTGGCTGAAGTGAATCAGCACCTAGTATCTTTAGCAAGCTAATAACATTGAGGGAAAGCCTCAGCTCCTATTGTCTCAAGTCACTGAATACCTATATACATGAATATGCAAAATGCACACACATGTGCACAGTGGCAGTACTAGAGAGCTGCAAGCTTCTCATCTGCTTTGAGTGTCATGAAGTTTTAAAATGTCTTCACTGAAAATTAAGACTTCATAAAGGTCTTTTTGAAGTGTAGAACCATATGAAAACTACTTTGCCTCAAACTGATTACATGAGAGCTCACTTGCTTTAAACTCATTACATCATTACACAAACTAGAATTTAATGTTGGTTTTCTGTCTCTTTACTTGAATCTTTCATCACTCATTTCAAACTCATCAGAAATTCACCATTCTCTAAAAAGGTACATTCGTCCATAAAAAATTAAATTACAAATGGAAAGTAGTATCTCATGTACAATTCAGTTAGGGCATTTCTACTTTTTAGTTCAAGGTGAAGATTTTAATGTTCATTGAGCTACCTCAGTAATTGGCTCATCTTTTGTGCCTCGAAGCAGATTCATTTCATCCGGTGTCAGCTGGAATTTTGCTATGAATGCATCTGCAACTTGTGCTTTCATTTCTAATCTCTGACTGAAATACAACAAAGTGAAGAGGATATTAGCTTTTTATGCTTATCTCAAAGACTTATTTTTGATATTTATACCTTCCAAAATACAAATCAGCATCAGAAATTGGTATTATTAAATTATAATAGCACATTCTTGCCATCAAACACTAGAGTTGCTTTTTCACATAAGACTTTCTATTAAGCTTACACATATTATTTAGTAAAGACAATATAGAGGTATTTCAACACATTTGAAAATTACTAAGTTCTTCAAAATAATATTCCTTCAGCATTTGTACCATAAGTTATCTAATCCAGATACTTTGTGCTTGCACATTTGTAATGCTTGCAGTTATTACCTTTCCAAATCACTAAGGAAAGGAAAAGCCTACAGCATCCAAAATTACAAAATTAACCTTACATTAACCTACTTTTCTGCAGACCAGATCCATTTCTTTGTAATACCATGCAGTTGGTATATCAATTTACTAATGTCACAAGCAATCAAAATGCAATGGCTAATTCTCTTGTTTCTGAAATAAACACAGCCAGGATGCAATATGCAAACACTGTCTCATAGGCAGCATTTTCCTGCACATGTTTTGTCACACTCCTTACAACCACAGGAGGACCCAAATGGAATGGACTGGGATTCCTGTAGCAACAGAAAACTTGCTTGAACTATGGTTTGAGCACACAGTATTCCTGGAAATAAAGACTACTTTTTCAGGACATTGAGAAGGCACCAATTAGTTATTTGCAGAACAATAAAGCTCAATTCCTTTAAGAAAATTTCAACTTCAATGTGATATAATTACTAAAAGACAAATACATTGTTATTACAGGGTAGTAAGAGGGGCAAGTATACTTCTATATACTGTACAATTAAATTTCCTTGCAAGATCAAAGCTTGAAAAGAAAGCTTTCACTTACTCCTTCTCTACTATCCAACTCGTGTCTGAACTTCATTCAGCTACTAATTATGGAAAACTGGCTTCCCTTCTGTAGACATGGATGACTTTCCCACCCTACAGTTCCACAAATTCTTTTAGAGATCAGATTAAATTTTTGCAATTGTCAATGCTCTAGCACATTGAACAATGAGAGAGAAAGTAATATAAAATCCAACAGTATTTTAACAGTAAAATCTATGAAAATCAAAGATGAAAGTAAGCCAATACTTCTAAGTTACACAACAGAGACCTAATCAAAAAGGAAAACCAAAAACTCATACACCTTTATATCACATCTTGAATTGATAATTCAGGTTTCATTGGGGTCCTAGGCAACTATAATGATTTTATCTTTACATTGACAGTTTTGCAATGCTTAAAATAAAACTATTTAATTTTCTCTAGGTAAACTCTACAATTCCAAATTTTGAGTCTTCATGAAGCCAAATGTTTCTCAGGGAAGGTACAAGAGTAATGCAGGATCATTTCAACCAACTCTACAGGCAGATGCGTCCATGAAAAGTCCTGGCACTTTCCAGCACAGTAGAAGGGGAATGGAACAAGACCATTTGGAACAAATTCAGCAAATTTTCAGCCAGAAGATTTATGTGGTGAAATCTGAGCAAGTCATCCTGTAAGAGGCAAAAAGACAAGCAGTCTACACAACATACAAGAAAGAGACAAGAAGATATTAACAAAAGAGTATTTTAAAATCTGTATTAAGCCTGTGAGAGATGTTCTGAGGGTAACTATGAAATTCTCACAACAGATGAAAGATGGGGCAGGTCTGCTCTGCACTAATATACTCACTGCAGTGATGTGTAAGCCATGCTACTCAGGCTGCCTCAGCCATCCCTGCTCATCCCTGACCTGTACTGACCTTCCAGGACCATTGTTTACAGCATCATGTAGTGAATGAGATCAGGGAACAAATCTGGCAGGAAAAAATCCAGAAGTTTTTACTTCTTGGGGGTGGAGGTTACATGTATTTTCTAATTCAGTTTACCACAGCCTGTGCTAAGGGACTGGGGTGTGCCAGCACCAGGAGCTGTCACAGGCAAGAGGCACTGACCTCACTGCTGCTACAAAACTCCCACAAAAACTACACTTCAGAACTCCTCTGGAGCATAAGAAGAGCTCATTTCAATCATCAGTTACAACAACTAATAATAATCAAAATTATAAATATTATGAGTCAAGAAAACTCTAGAGGCATCAAGATGGCCACTCAAATTGAAAATCAGCCAAGGACACTTAAAATTTAACACAATGATGCTGCTTTCAACAAAGCATTCCTGTTTCACACTTCTTGCTGAGCAAGTCTAATGCCTCAACATCACCACCACTGTATTTCGTTTAAACAACAGAAAATGTAAATTAGAGAATTAAATAAATTAGTCTCAATTTAATACAAATCTACAAAGCTGAAAATAGATGGGACTACCCCTCCCTTTAGGTAAGAGACAATCCCTTTAGCAAATAAATGAGAGAAGGCAAATGCAAGGCCTTCTTTGGGTTCAACTGAAATAAAGCTTCCACAAAGAGAGCAGCAGATAGGATGCTGAGAAACTTTTCTGTTCTTTGAGCCTGTATATCTCCTGAGTGCATAAACTTTAAGGTGCTCTTACAGAAGATTTCCATTTGTTATTTTCTGTTCTTCAGATTTTTTGAATCTATACTTCTGTGGGTGGAAGTCTGATTTTAAGAAGTGTAGCATACTCGGCACAATGGTTTTCTCCATTTCCAGGTGGAAGTAGGGTTGTGGTAGAACAAGAAACAGAGCTAGGAACTGTCTAAACAGCATGCTCATGAGTCAGTCCTGGAACTCTGTGCCCTGTTTTACTCCTTCTTCATAAAAAAAGAATTATCTTGCTAACCAATATCTCTCCTTCTGCAAGTCCTCACTCTTTACAATCCTCCCTCAATTTTTGCTGCTACGGAGAACAAGGTGTGATCAAACACTGTACTTTAAAGCCATTCCCATATCTGGCTGTGTCTTGAGCTAAGGCATGGCATAACTGCACACTGACAAGAGTCCATGCACTCCTAATATAATTAACTTTTATAATACAGAGTCAGTACATGAAACTCAAGTACACTGGGCAAGCTAAGCTTCACAACGTACACAGAAAATAACAACCTCAAGGTGGCAGCAATGTTTCATCCACTTTTCTCAGGATTGTGATTGGGAAGTGGTGACAAATCTCTCTCCTAAACAAAAGCATGTGTCTGAATTTTGATAAAGCTGTTTCTGTTGGGCTCTTTACGAAGCACACAGGATTTCAAAGAGCTGCTCCGTTTCAGAACCCAGGTTAGCCAGTTCTGCTTGAGATGACTGTGAAAGCTGCCTTTATTATCAATCTGCACAAGAAAGAGACTCTATAGCCTAGATGATGGATTAGGAACAAAATATGTAAATTGTTCATACCTTTGATTTTTGCCTGGCAGTGTACAGTATCACTGAGACCAATACACTCAGATTTGTATTCAATTTTTTTCCATATATATTTATTTATGCATTTATTTCCTCACACACAAGCTAACAGATACTTAACTAGAATTTTATCTATCTTGCTAAGGCAGGGCAATGGATTACAATGTCACTCAAGGTTGCTCCATCGGTTCACTGCAGTAAGTGCCTAACAAAACACAACGCAGGTAACAACAAAAGTCAGTGTAAAGTCTGTCTTACATATAACCCACAGCAGTCGGTACCTGTGTGCAGACAACAGGACATTTCAAGACCCACTGCCCTTTCTGTAGATATAATAATGTCTAAATTCTAAGCAGTCCAGTACAATTGAGGAAAGGCCATACCATGTTGTTATTCCAAATTTTATTTTTTTCTTTTAACACAGTTAATCCTGCATAAATGAATGAAACTAACAGCTTATGGGAATCCTGCACTAATGCAAAAGGGGAAGTTCCAAATGTTGGTAGAATTTAGAACTTGGGCAAAGGACAGGATTCCAACAAAGAGCAATTTCCCCAGTTTTAATCGTTACCAGGGAGACAGAATTCTTTTGCAAGAGAACTCAAAAGGCTGGGAAAACTATGCACTTCATGCACTTTTCCCTTGAACCAAATACAAATGTGCACTGTTTGTGAGGATTACCACCCCGACAGCTCAAAAATGAGGTGGAGAAGAAGCAGACTTTTCCAAAGCTTAATTTTATCTTGCGACCACATACAGCATAGAAGTCTGCTAGTTTCTTCTACTCAGGATGAATCAGAGCAGTCATTCTCAAATTACTTTCAATTTGTGGTACTGAGGATTCAACACATTTTTAAAGCCTCAGGACAACAGAGTATTTCTAACTCATAAGTAAGTAACAATCATGTTTAACAGACTTGTATAAATCTGCAGAATTATTTTTCTGTCATGTGAAAGGCAAATATACAAGATTATGTAACAAAACAGTTATACACAAGCATTAGAAAACCATTCTTAAGAGTAAGAAGAAGTGCATTTGTAAGCTGAGAACAAATGTTTTGTTCTGCATTTTATCTGTCAAACACATCTCTTACTGAAGAAGAACTGAAATACTGTGCGGAGGTATTCAGTGACCCATTCCATCATTATGAATTATTATGAAATATTCTCCTTACTTAAAAAATAGGAAGACGTAAAAAACCCCAGTGAATTGTCTAATGTTTCCAGGACACAAGAAAATAGCAGTAATTGTAAAGAAGTCTTTAGTGAGACCTCATCTGGAAAACAGATCACAATCCTGATCATCTGTGTGCAAGAACAATGGATTCCCATTAGGCCACAGCTAGCAGGATCATCATGGAAATGGAAAAACTAATTTATCACAGGAGATGAAGGCAGCTCTTAAGACAAAGGACAAGATGAGAAAACAGTCAATTTATATCCAATAATTAGGTTGGAAATCAGGGAAAGGCTTTTACTGGAAAGAATGAGCCTTTGGCTAAGTGTTCCATGAATAGTAAAGCATACAACATGCAAAAATACTGCACTACTTGTGCGTTGAATAGTTGATGAGTTTACCAAAGTCATAATGCAAAGAATAGGCGGCAGCGGGAGAGTGGACTTGAACTCAGAATGT